GAACATGTGGAAATCAACAAGGGTGCGTTTTATAAGAAGGAAAGACCATCATTTGAATTATGCATTGTCCTTGAAGTAGACGGACCACCGTCGAAACATGTTGTGCTATTTCTTTTTGTTTTGTATGTGTCTCCTGTTTTTTCCAGATTCTGTCGATTTGCTCCAGATTTCCATCCTGTGATCCTGGGGGTGATTTCCACTATTGGAGTCTGCCTATTATATCTGGCTAGAGACCAAACACTTTAGAGCTCTAATACACATGGCTCAGCAGTATGTGAGTGCATTACACATAATTGTCCATATATTTTATTGCATATCTTATATAGTACACTATGAATTGTATATGATTTATCGTTTGCCCTGAAATACATTTGATGGTAATACATTTTGGTACTTGTGTGTGTGCTTTTCACCGTTATTTAGTATTTTGAGTATTTCCTGACTTGATTGTGTTGTGTGGAGTGATTACAGTAGCACTTTCCTCTGTTTTAGATACCACCATTTTTTTTACAACTGTTTATATTTTAATTTGCTTAGATTTTAAATTCACTTTGAATTCTCACATTAGTAAATATCCTGAATATGTTTAATTAATTTTATTTATAGAGTTTTATGAGAAATAAAGAAATTCGGTGTGGAATTTTTAATCTTACTCAATAGAGTATGTTAATCAGACTGAGATTCTTTTAATTTCTTGACGGGTTACTCCAACCACAATTACCATTATCAGTATGATATGGGCATTTGGATATAAAATGGTTAATTTGTGTATAAGCAGGATAATTTGAGCTAGAATAATATATTTGCTTTCTGCCAGCTGAACACTTTCACACAATTGTTCTAGTGACATATCTAATCATTCAGTAAATAGAAGGTCAGTTTGCTCCAAGAATCGTCACTAGGTGCCTGAGAATCAGAACTGCCTTATAAGAAGCCACAACATTATCTTATCTAACGGAGCATGTTGGTTTTTTTTTTTTTATTAGTTTAGGATTTTGATCTCATACTTACATATGGAGGTTAGCTTTAAATGTTACATAGTTACATAGCTGAAAAGAGTCCATCAAGTTTAGCCTTCCTCACATTTGTTTTTTGCTGTTGATCCAAAAGAAGGCCAAAAAAAAAAAAAAACCCAGTTTGACGCACTTGCAATTTTGTAACAAATTAGGAAAAAAATTCCCTCTTGACCCCAGAATGGCAATAAGATTAATCCATGGATCAAGAAGCATTTAACCTACATTGAAAAATTATATCCTTGAATATTGTTTTTGCAAGTATGCATCTAGTAGCTGTTTGAACATCTGTATGGACTCTGATAAAACCACTTCTTCAGGCAGAGAATTCGACATCCTTCTTGTTCTTACAGTAAAAAAAATATTTTCTTTGCATTAGACAAAATCTTCTTTCTTCCAGTCAAAACGCATGGCCTCGTGTCCTATGTAAAGTTCGGTTTGTGAATAGATTTCCACACAATGGTGTGTATTAGCCCCGAATATATTTGTATAATGTTATCATATCCCCTCTCAGGCGACGTTTTTCTAAACTAAAGAGGTTTACATTTTGTAACATTTCTTCATAGCTGATATGTTCCCCTTTAATGTCACTTTAATACAATGACTAAATCATTATGTGGTTACATAGAACGCCATATTTGATTAAGCCTAAGTCAGCATAAGTTGATTAGGATAATTAGCTTACGTATTGAAATACATTAGCATTCATGAATTACTAGTCTTTATAGGGGATCTTATATAAAACAATTTGTATCAGATCTTCTTCTTGATCTCTACGGATAGATACTGACGCTACGATTTACATAGGTATTATATTTTAATTTACTTTTCCTGACCAGCATTTATACCTTAATAATTCCTCTACTTTTGGGGTTTGTAAATTTTGATTATTTATTTTTAAAATAAATATATATTAAAACTTGTGTATGAATTTTCTTACTTCCGTTATCTGAAAATATTGTAATGTAGTTTATATTTGCACTTGTGGGCCAGGGGCTAGTTACAACCCCAGCACCAGTGACTTTGGCATCCTGGAACAGCCTGGAATTGCCAAATTCCAATTCATTGCAATGTTTAGGCTTGTTTTCAGTCCATATATTGTGCTGGTGACAGCAATGATCATCTTCCCCCTTGTAGGCAGCACCCAGGCAATTGGAAGCTTGATTTTTCCTCTTTTCTTCCTTCCCACAGAGCAGTGCCTCTCGCTTCCCTGTATTAAATTGTTTTTTTGTTTGCTTTTTTAACTTGCCCTCCCCTGTCCACCCTTTCCTTTTCTCCCTCCCCTACATGTGCTCTGAGCTGGGCAAATGGTCCAATCACATGCATATCATTAAGAAGCATTCATTGGACCATGAATGGACATCGTAAATGTTAGATGGGGTGTGGAAGGCAACGCTAGGAGCTTTAACCGGTGCTGGAAACCAGATAAGTTTATCCCTTTATTTTTTGTTTATAAGGGGGGACTATTACATAATAACCAACAGGGCATTTTGAAGTAAAATGAAGTGTTAGAGTAACCCTTTAACATTTTATAGTATTCTCCTCTTTCCTATTTTTACGGTACCCCAAAGCACAGCAAGACCTTGATAACACAGCTAATCCAGCTCTAACTATTTTAAAACTTTTATGTGTAAATTGTCACATATGAAATGTCAAATCATAAAAAAGTATAAATTGTAAAAATAATACAAAACTACATACATTCCACATGTACTGCATTTGGTAACTGACTGTGCTATCTTAGTTAATGAGTAGCTTGCTGGACAGATGATATTCAAAAGATTCTATCACTAGTTTGGTTTGTTTAGCTGAGCAAGCACACACACCCAGATACACACAAAGAACAGTAAGTGTTATAGATAAATATCACAGTCATACATGTGCACACACACCTTGAGGTATATGAAATATGCCAACGTAAATGCCTAAATATATTTCTAACATAGTCTATACACCCATATTAAATGAAATTAGGGAAAAACTACCATCTGAAAACTTCACCAGCCGCCACTGAGTAGGTAAGTAAAAAGATTAAAGATGTCGGCATGCTACGCTAGTGTCAGTATGCTGATAGTCTGTTGAGAATGACTTGAGCTAGCAGCTGCTGTCAGGTGCCCAAATTGTGACTTTGATAACTGTAATGTCACAGTGCCACTGCGAGCCGGCAGCTAATACTAGCAAGCTTCCCATGTCAGTGCCTGGTACCTGTATATTCAATCCGATCGAATCATGGAACCACTGAATATGGATTTATTATTCATTTGATGTTACTAATTTGATGGGGTTTTTTCCATATCTTAATTATTTGATTCTATTTAAACATTTTGCATTTGTTTTTGTAGCACAAAAATACCTAAATTGTAACAAACAGAAATTAAGATAGAAAATAAAGGCATTTATATTAAAGGTACACTGTAGTGTCAGGAATACAAACATGTATTCCTGACACTATAGTTCTAAAACCACTGTTTAAGTGCTCCTTCCCCCTGCCCCCTGTTTAAAAGGTGATTTACTCACCTTATTTCCAGTGCAGCACTGGTCCCTCAGCGCCTCCTTGGCTGAGATCATCAAGTTTGAACATTTTAGCCAATCCAATTCTTTCCCATAGGAAAGCAATGGGAGACTATTGCGCATGCGCAGCAAAATACTGCGCTGTGCCACACCAATCAGCATCTAATCAATGTATCTCTATGGGAAGCATTCAGCGTCTCCATGCAGAGCGTTGGAGACGCTGAACCTCAGCACTGACCCAAGAAGCACCTCTAGTGACCATATGGCTTACTGTCACTAGAGGGGTTACTCTCTGAAAAGGCAGCATTTACATTACAAAGCCTGCAGGGACAGGCAGTAGATACCAAAACAACTACATTAAGCTGTATATGTTCTGGTGACTAAATAGTGTCCCTTTACCAATTGATTAATTTCAATAATATTAGCAAGATGCCGTTTCAGGCTTATGCAAGTCTATTGCACTCTCTTTGCAATATATTTTTGTTTGTAGCTGCCATTTTATTCCAGAGGTCTTTCAAAGGTTCTTGGTATATTTTCAAGCACACAAAGTTATTTTTGTGAACTCTCTTCCTTCTCATTGTTTGTCTAACAATTTTCTTTTCTGGTGTGAAAGACTTGTTTTACAAACAGTCTATCTTGTCCTTGAAGTGTAGTATGATAATACAACTTAGCTATGGATTCCTTCTGTTCCTCCCATATCCTTGTTTGGCTAAAACACCCAGAAAAGTCTCTGCTTTATTGTTTTTGACGAGTATAATCAGGCAGTTTATGCTTAAATATTAAGTAAGAATGTACTAACCAATTATTAGATTTTTGTAAAAACATTAGTAACCATAGTTTTCGTAATCACGTTGTAACCAGTATATAAATTGCGGCTGGGGCTGCCCCAACCAAGCCAGAAATGTATTTATTACGGTTGCCTCCAGACTAGCTGAAATTTGGACTGTAGAAAAGGATGCTCCTAGTGTTCACCAAAGGGCCATCAGCACCACAGACACCATAAGTACTGCAGACTCCATGAACCGCTGCTGCTGGGCTGGGATCTCGCCGTCTGCTATCCACCCTGGACCTATGACCAGGCTCCAGGTTCCAATAGGTGAACCTCTTTCTTCTGTAGAGCGAAGCAGGATCAGGAACAAGAGCTCTTACAAGAGCTCAGTAGTTAAGGGAGCATGCAGAGCATAGCAATCCCTGTAGTGATTATAGCTGTCTCCTACAAACACGAGTCGAGGCTGCTAGTTAGAGGGTCAAGTAGTTTTCTTTAATGGGCACCAAAGGGCCTTCTTTTATGCAGGTTTTACAGATACAGTACCGCCCACAGGGTTTTGCAGAACAACCAATAACACACGTAATGTACAATAAAACACTCCCATTCATTCCCACAAAATCCTCCCCACAGCCTGTGATATAATTACTGAACACAATGGGTTAATGTAATTATCACAGGCAGGAAAATATACTTTTTATACATACACTGTAACTTTCAAAATATACATCCAATCTCCATAAAAAAATACATATTATTAATCAGCACACTTTAAACATAAACATTCTCAAAAATCATACAAATCCCTCCAGTAATTCAAAAGTTAGTCGGAAGTCCTTTCTGACCGCAAGCACATTTTGATGCCCAAGTTCCATTTGGTCTGTGCGGTCGGTCTATTTCAGGCAGAAAAATGACTAAGTCCCATTCGAATGCAAGAACGGGGCCGTTCGTGCAATTGGCTCAGTATAGCAGTGAGTTCAAACTGCCGAACGGGACTTAGTCTCTGTAGCTGAAAACTGAGTGGAGGAGAAAGTAAGGGTCAGCGGTGTTCGTTGAAATGTGTAGCCGATTTCAGTTCCATGGATTTGGCTACACATATCGCTGACCTCGTTCGAATGAACAAAGATGGCACAGGCTGTTCTTAAAGGGCCATACACACCAGGGCCATAGTCACGAGGAAGGAGGCTGGCAAATAGGCTCCTCCATAATCCAGGGAAGCAGGGCAATTTGTCACTTAAAGAGAGAGTTATATAGAGGCATTTTGTAACAGTATTTCTCAGCAGAGCTGCCTTCAGAATAACCCTTTCAATAAACACTTGAAGAATCTACCTAGTGCGGTCTAACTTCGTATGCAGCCTATCATTTACTGAGTCTGCAATTCATTGTTTAGTAAATAATACCTTTGAGCTAAGTGACCACTTTGCATTTTACAGAATTGCGCAGGATTCAGAGCCCCAGCAACTATACCATGGCCATAAACACAAGGAAACCTTCTAGAGTACCATCTCAAGAATTTACCCTGATAGTTTATATCATGACATTGTACTTTACCCACTTTATATTTAATGTTTGATACCTGCCTAAATATTTTTATTTACTAGACTAAGTCTCACCTCATCCGTGCCTTAATCTTCAGCTTTAATACAGTCCCATCTGACCCAAATTTCTCTCTCTTACAGTTAACAGTTATGTTGTTAAAGAACTCACTTGCCCCCTCACCCAGCCTTGGTTTCTCTCCTCAGTTATAGATAGAATCCTGCCCATGATTCCAGCCTTGCAGATACAGCAGCTGCCAACACTACCTCTAATCAAAGCACTCCGACAAATGTCGTAACCCTTTAATCTGCATTCTCCCCCTCCAGGACCAGATTAACAGTCCATGCGGCTTGGTACTGACAATTATAATAGGGGGTCAACCTTCCCAAGTGTCTTGTATCTGGTGGAGGTGTTTCCAGAGGGGAACTCACAGGATATCTGAATAAAAATACACACACTATACTAATCTATCGTTTTCATCACCCCACCAACATTGACATACTGTGACCATTAGGACATCTGAAGGCTGGTTAAAAAGAGGTGGGCCAATGTGATGCAAAACGCATCTCTGGCACCAACTTAAGAGGCAGACCAACCATTCTGAGTGGGTCTGCCCTAACAATTTTAAATGTATGCCAGGCTGTCACACAGGCCGGCCAAGAAAGGGCAGATTATGCTGACAGTGCTGTTTCAAAGCCCAGAGCTTGTGCAAACGAGTCTATTGATGTGCCCCCACTAGTGTTCAGTGTGTACTGGGATATTACAGAGTCCCTAGAAATGTGCAGTGTGTACTGGGATATTACAGAGCCCCCAGTAGTGTGCAGTGTGTACTGGAATATTACAGAGCTCCCAGTAATGTGCAGTGAGTACTGGAATATTACAGAGCCCCCAGTTATGTGCAGGGTGTACTGGGATATAACAGAGCCCCCAGTAATGTGCAGTGTGTACTGGGATATTACAGAGCCCCCAGCAATGTGCAGTGAGTACTGGAATATTACAGAGCTCCCAGAAATGTGCAGGGTATACTGGGGTATTACAGAGCAAGACAGTGGAGTGTATCAGGGGGGATGGACTGAGGGGATGGAAGGGTCAGTATGGAAGGGGGGCAATTGGCTGTCTTGCACCAGCATGCCCAGATTTGAAATAAGCGAACCCAGAATGTTGGTTTGGGCTGCTAATTGATGCTGCCGGAAGTGGAGTTACTCCACCACCTCCGGCAGCAGAAGAAACCAGCATAGAGTGCATACCAAACAGTGATAGATGAGGAGAAATGACAGGATACTGGGATGAGGTCGATAGACTGGTGTTCTGTGTCAGAATCAGCGCAATCATGACATATGGAATGGCAAGGCATGTAGACGTACACAAACCTGCAATAAATTATTTTGAGAAACAATTCAATAGGGATGGTGAAATAAATCAACTGCTTAAAAACATTTTGTTGGATTCAATTAAATTTTAACTAGGCTTTTTTGGTCCTATGGTGATTATGTCTTATGATTCATGGCTAAGAGTACCAAGTTTGCACCATACAGCAAAAATAATATGATTGACCCCAAAGAATACCAAATTTGGAACAACAATCCATACAGTGCAAATTTATTACAGTGGCACATTGTACAATGTTATCCAGTAGAGTGTAGATTTTGCAGCAATTAAAAGTGAATTTGAAAGTTTAGGCCACAATGAATACAGCTCATTTTCTTCCAATTTGTCTATTTGGGCCTCAAAGTTAAAGGGACACTATAGGGTCAGGAACACAAACATGTATTCCTGACCCTATTGTGTTAAAACCACCAGCTAGCCCCCCTGGCCCGACCCTTACATCCCTAAATATAATAAAATATTAATTGAATTCAAGTCTGCAGCTCCTGGCTCTGCCCCCTCTGCCTCTGACCTGCCTAACGTCTACTGACATCATCAGAAGTGGTGGTCTGAGCCAATCACAATGCTTCCACATAGGATTGGCTGAGATTATCAGTGAGGCAGATCAGGGGCAGAGCCAGCACAAGTCAAACACAGCCCTGGCCAATCAGCATCTCCTCATAGAGATACATTGAATCAGTGAATCTCTATGAGGAAAGTTCAGTGTCTGCATGCAGAGGGAGGAGATACTGAATGTCACACTGTGCACACTGCCGCAGGAAGCACCTCTAGTACCCATATAAGAAGTGGCCAGTGGAGTTATCCCTAGGCTGTAATGTAAACACTGCATTTTCTCTGAACATACAGTGTTTATAATAATTCCCTTCAGACTTTTTGAAGTACTCATAAGTATATTGTACTCACCAGAACAAATACAACAAGCTGTAGTTGTTCTAGTGACTATAGTGTCCCTTTAAAATTCACTTTGAATTCATGACACTTCACATTTTGATGGATAATCCTGAAAGCATTTTAATTTCATTGACTGGTAATACAAATGATTCAGTTTTACATTATAGTGTGGTTTAATACTGTGGATCTACACATTAATGCGAATCAAATCTTGTAGTCGATGGAGCAGTGTAGCTAAGGGGAATGGGCCTTGACATTGCTAGGAGACGGGCAAAGAATGTTGGCAGTGTCAGTGATTGGGTACCATTTTAGATTAGAGGCCATCTTAATTAATCCTCACTTACCTGCTGTCTCCCCCCCTCCCTTTTTTGTTTTTAGCATTTTAGTCACGGCGGCAGAGGATGGATAGAAAAGTTGGAGGGGTAGGTCAGTTTTCCATAGGTGGGAGTTTTTAGTTCGGTAAAAATGGTTTGGTTTGAATTGGTATTGGTAGCTTCAAGCTCGTTGGTAGCTGCGAACCTGTTGTGTGTAGGGGTATCTCAGTATACTCCTACACTGTGAAACATGGAAATGATGCCCTCGGTGGCAGTGGTTTATGTGGTATGTCATTTAGATTGTTTGTAATGCGAGACCAATTTATTGTTTAAGTGGTTCATTCTCCATGGTATAATTGTTAATGGTGGCAAAGACTTAAATTTTTAATTGATTATATCACCTATTGAAACTGTGACAAATTTTTCCCAAACAGGTGGTGTCTGAGTTTTTTTGGGTTGGGGTAAGGTTTTGCATATGCCAAAAGGACATCAATGCATATGTCATGTGAACACACACACATACACGTTTTTGTGGAATTAGGTGGTGCATTAATGCACACAACACTCATACAGTAAGCTCCACAGTTTTTGCACTACATAATTCTGAGAAACTGACAAACAGTATGAGTTTTATTGCTGTTGAGCTTTGTGACATGCTCAATCCCAGAAAATATTCTGATCTGCAAAACACAAAAGGCATTAGGATGTGAAACCAGGACGCCCCTAAAACCACATACAAAAATTAAATAAAGAAAATTAAACGACAAATAAAAGATCACACACATCGATAACATATGTAGATTTTTATAGTTTTGTTGCAGAAAACAGTTCCATTTTAAATCCTCAAGATTTATTTTTAAGTTAAGCCTATAAAAATGCCTTCTACAATTGGTATTTTATTCGGTTATCCTCCAAACTAAAACAGATCATTATATATACACACATATCATTCACCATAACATAACCTAGGAAAAGTGCGTTTTATTTTAATATTTTAATTCATTTAATTTGTTTAATGATTTCCAGTGTCATAAACAAACAAACTAAGGAGTATGACAGTCTAAACTAGCCCTGGGCTTTTCTTAAAATAGGTAGTAAATAAATAATAAGAAATCGGTAAAACAGTATTTAATATTCACATGTGCATTAATACAAATATGCAATATGTCAGCATTTACCTAAGGAAATTAGAATGAAACAATGTGTAGTGAGGTCATAGATATTTAGAAATATGCAATGAATCCTCAAAACTGTCCTATTGGATAATGATACATATTTTCTTCCAGTTAGTAAGATTAAAAAAAAATGTCAGAACATATTTTCTTTAAGCCTCTAATACCCCCAAATGGAGAGATCAACTCACAAATGAGTTTTATTATATTCTGAGCAAGTTTTCCTGGAAAATTTAAATTCAGTGCAAGTATCATCTACAACTAAACAGAAACAAAAACATTAAAAAATATGGCTGTGTTAAAAAGGACAGCATGTTCCACTGCCGTCAAAAGACTTACCGTGCAACGCTATACAGAAAGATGCGGCATAATTGTAACGCTTTCCTTTACAGGTTTATTCACTAAAAGAATTGTAGCGATTAATATCCCAATGTCAATGTTTTAACTAAAACACACGATTTGAAAATATCCAACTCTAGCTTGGCTATTTTAGGATAATGATTTGCAGATTGTATTTCAATTCGCTACAATTTCAGAGTGTGTATGTATTATTTAAGGACTATCAATCCTCATTAAGGTTTTGGAACCACTGTCAAAATTATTAAATTGTTTTGGAAATCATATGGTCAGATCACAAGAACAAACAGCTATCTGAATAAGTCCCTTGCAAATGTTAGCAAATGTTACAGTAGCATTTTCAAGTAAGCTCAAAATGTTAGTTTGCATTTCAACCAAGCAATACATGGTCCTAAACAGTTTAAGTAGGACCCATCATGTCATTATGGCTGAATATCAAAGAAAAATAATTCAGTTAATGGACAGGAGACACTCTGTGTTCCTCATTGTTTGATAAGTATATTTATTATATTATTTGTTTTCTTCACAAACTAATCAACAGCAATCAGAATGCAACCTTTGCACTAACTTCTAAAGTTACCATAAATCAAGCAAACTATTTCAAAACAGAAGAGGAACTACTTCTGACTACTGAGGAAAAAAACGGACTGGACAATATTTCACGTTTAAAGTGACCATCGAGTTTGAGGCTCTATGTACAAATATACTTTTTCTTTTTAACAGAGTTAAAGGTTTGCAGAGTTTTGTAGGATTAATGTATTTTATATTCCAGCTGAGTTTTAAAAGACTCTTGTTTTATATAGTGAAGCTGAATGCTTCTGCAGATATATAGCTTTAGAAAGATGTAAAAAAAAAAACAAGCTCTAAATTGCTCAGCACCATGGACAGCGAATAGTGTACACGTCTCAAACAATTCAGAGATAAATGGTCAAGCGTTCTTCAATCAATTCTTCTAACCAGTGGTAACTATTTCAGGGCTATTTACTAAGATAAATTCAAGGAGAATTTCAGCATTTAGGCATAATAGTCTAATTAGAAAAAATATATCTATAAAATCAGCTATTTTTTTTTTACGTTCACTTGTTTTGACCTAAAAATGTAATTCACTTGAAATTGCACTAACGTTCAGAACAAATCGCACTTTAGTTAATGGCACAATCACAGTTCAATTCTGTAATCAGGGTTGGATTCACTAAAGTACAAGTTGAGCGGAGTTAGCAATTGACTTTCAAAATGCAGCAAAACTAGAGCCTTATAAGAATGTCCCCCAGGCTGACTTGTCCTACATTCTTCTGCAAGTTATTTGTCAGCTCACCAGAACAGTTTAGTTACGCCAAATTCAGATTTAGAGTATTTGGGCTCCTGAGGCTGCAGAGTTGGTAGCTGGGACTCGTAAATTCCATAATGGCCTGAGGATATAAAGGCTTCCTGGAGCGTTTCTTACTTGTATGTAATGGCTGACTAATGAATCGATCCCTATTTACATAATAGCTACTTGGTGAATGGGCTAAACTTTAAGACTGTAAACTTGTACCTCAGAATCCTATCAGGGCTTACAATTTCAAGTCCTAGGCCATTAGTAATGCCTTAAATATCACTCGACAATGCAAGCATGGAAAGTTAATGGCACAGTCACTAGAAATACATTTTCACGCTGCACTGGCTAGTAACAAGTGGATGTTTGAGCCCTGTCTATACATTCCCTAATGGTGTAAGAATATAAAAGCTAAATTTCTTACTCACATGAAATGGTTGAAATTTTGCTTTTCAAATACAAAGGTGATATTTTTTTTAGCCCTGAGCCATTAGGGTTTCCATGAGAACTGGTATTGCAAAAATTTGGTTGGCAAATGATTGGGTGAATAGTTTACGTAGAATTCTGATGCGGTTACAGATTAATAATCAAGGTCTCAGGGATAGTTGAATTGAAATGTTTGAGGTGTATCTTACTTCAGCTTGTCATGCGGTATGAGCCAAATGAGCGTTAAGGTGGGCGAGAGCAGTGCAGGAAACAGAATGAAGTAAATGTCTCACTGGAATCCTAGTAATTCATTTTTACAATGCAGAAGCTCTTGGACATACATACAGATAGGGTTGTTCTCTAAGCCACAAACACCCATGAATTCACAAGCAAATTGCAAATTTTAGACAAAAATAACAGATTTTGAAAAATTTCACTATTTCCAAACGCAACAACAACAAACGTGCAATTCACCGGTGCATTTACCTCAATTTCGATTTCTGTGAATAATCCAGCATGTGACAGATATTTAGATTGTAAGCTTGTTTGAGCAGGGCCCTTGTTACCTCTCATTCACTTTAGTAACACAACTTATTTACTCGTATACGTTGTTACGAGTCTTATTTACTCGTTACGCATTAAGTTGGCCTTTTCCAAATAAGTCAAGCACAAGGACCAGTTATATAGAAAACTTTAACACATCCCACAAACCAAGCCTCCTACAAATATCACTAATAGCTCCTAACTTTCTACATTAAACTCTTTGTTTTCCAATCAAACTCCAGGTCAATATATTTCCTTGCTTTATAAATTAAATTTGTGACCACCAAAAAAACTTTTGTTGTGATGGTCTGTGAGAGTTGATTTTATGCGTTTTACTCCACCAATACAACATCCAGTTAACCCATTTAACAGTACCTTTTATTTTTAAGCCTTAGCCGTTTTAAGCCAGGAAATTAAAGATTTCAAAGATTATGCACTTTGCCCCCGGTTTGATAATAGTCAGGAAATTTTAAATTCTATGCCAAAATAGACAAACTGCAAACATAGCAGACTTCGGTTCGGTTCTGTTATTTGTGCCGAAAATTTGATATTCACTAAGGAAATCCTGACAACTCATTGTTTAAGAAATAACCCTTAAAGGGTCTAGGCCTTGAAACGCAGTCTTGGTATTAAGTAGGACACAGATAATCTAAAATATGTCTGCACCCAAGACTTAAAGGACGTAGTTCCTCTTCTGTTACTCTAAAAGTTCACACAGGTTTAGTAAAGGAGTATAGAGCATAAAAGGTGCATATTTATAAAAAGCATTCGTAATATAGCTTGTTATAGATCCGAATCTAACATTGACACTAGGAGACAGAATGTGAAGCACACAATAATATATTTTGCCATGTGTTGTTTATGCCTATTGCTAAGCTTAGTCATAAACACAATAAACTGTTCAGAAGGCACACAACACATTTTCTTTTCACCTGTATTATTAGTGGTATCAATAAAAACGAACATTTTATAAAACATACTTAAGTCATTAGATACTTAAAGGTGCAGTCCCATGTTAAACCAGATTGGTATGTGAGCATATCTAAATGTACCAGTGGTATTTGAGTTTTTTTTTCCAAAGGCCCAGATAACGCGTATCTTGGTTATATAGTCAAAGTTAAAGCACATTATAATAAATTCTGCAACATTTCCTGATCCACTGCACTCGGGTTAACAACTTACTGTAGGTATTTGTCTAGGGTCTAAGAAAGACTAAGTGCATGTTGTAATGGGACCTTCTAAAATGACAAATGTCTGATTTTGGGTCTTGATCTGGTTCAAGAACCTTTGAATTATACAAATCATAGTATTCACTCCAGGTTTAACGAATACAGATGGAATCTATATTAAATATACACAATCTTAAAAGACAACTGTCACGTCAAAACTATTTTTAATGCCATTATCTTTCCATCAAGGAAATAAGGTATATTATTAAAACATACAAAATAAAAAAATGGAAAAAACACATCCATACCTTTAGTATATGCCAGGATCCTTCAGCCATATACATGCACCTTGGTTCGGACAATGTTTTAAAATGGGTGGTTAGTCTCTATGGTCTTCCCTGTTTCCATGCAGGGAGTGAAATAGGAAAAACCATAGAGACCATCAGTTTTCAAACACTGTCCGAGCCATAGTGCATGTATATGTCTGAAGGATCCCATCATATAGTAAGGAGAAGGATGCATTGTTGCTCTTTTTTATATTTTTACCTCATTGAAAAATCTATTTCCTTTAAAAAATTGATGATATAATAATTATATTAAAAATAGTTTTGAGGTGACAGTTGTCCTTTAAGTACTCACTGAACATTAAAACAGGAAGAAAATGGGGATTGTGGCTTTCAAAAAATAAAATATAGGGAATAATCAGAGATGTACAAGAGTATATATTTTATTTAGTATTATTTCTACTCACGAAATACAGAGGAAAAAATCATAGAATAAAGAATAGAGGAATTAACAGCAGAATGTACTGGCTTCGATCTAGATACTCAGCCAATTGCTGAGAAATTCATTACTTGTTAGTAATGGCGTCTAGTTCCACTCAATCCCTGTTAAGTTCGGCCTCAAACTAGTTTATCATCCACCTTCTTTGCTAGAGTCATTATCTTCCTTCCTCCACTGGCATAGGAGGGTGAGATAATAAGCTTTAGAAAAGTCATCAGGTATGAGCATTAGAATCAGCAGCTACTGAGGCCATAGTAGAGAAGGAGGCGGGATTGGTGGTGATAGTGAAGACACAGTAGAGAAGGAGAAGGTAGCTGTAGCACTACTGAAATCAGAATACAGAAGGAGAAGGAAGTGGTTCAACCTCTTAACTTTTGGAAAATGACTAGAAATTGTGCCTTAATGCCATTTGACTGGGTTTTCACTGGCCCCAGGCAACCATTCATAATAAATTATTTACCGTGCACTGGAAACCTTCTGGCTCTAGGAAAAGGTTACACATTCTATAACAGTTTAAGACTGAGTCCCTGGCCTAACTGTACAATTGCAGAAATTGTCAACAAGCTAATAATATATACATAACTTATGTTTCTGTCAAAAAAATTAAGAGACAGTGACTTATAAAATGAGAAACAATAAGAACTGACCCGTCCAGTATTCAGTTGACTAGATAAGATCCAAATCTGCTAAAACTAAGTGGCAATGTGATCAGTGTTGCTATTCTCATATTAGTTTGTGATAAACAATTACAGAATTATTCATTCACTTTTATTTGGATACGTAGGGGAGTCATATCCTTCTAAGAGGGACAGTTTGGGTTTATGATCCAAATCTTCATCTCTTACAGGGCTAGATTGCTCATTAGGTAAGCAGAGTAAGCATCTGCCTACACGCATGTGTTTAAGAGGAGTGTTGCAGGTACCTACTCTGCCAGGTAAACACCGTCCACAGCACTTTGCCGACTTCCCAGACAGTAAAGACCTGTACCGGTCTTTGATTTTTTGATTGCTGGGATAAGTCTGAGGGAGCCTTAATCTTTGCAATTCCATGCCTTCTTTTAGAATTAACACAGCAATCTGAGGCAAATGGAGGAGGAAGAGGGGTCAATTACAGGAACATGCACACTGCTACTCTCACTGTTACTCACACACACACACACTGTTATGCTCACATCTACTCATACACACATTCTGCCACTCTCACTGTTACCCACACACACTCACCATTCCTACACACACACACTGTTATGCTCACATCTATTCATACACACACTCTGCTGGTCTCACTGATACCCGCACTGCTACACTATTTCTACCCACACTCTATTTCTACCCACACTCTTACTCTACTATACTCTACTATACACACATAAAAAAGCACACATGCATACATTCACACATATACTACAGCATATGTTGTGTACAGTATATATATATTGTTTTGGTCTCGATGGGGTGGTATTGACAATTCTACAGGCAATTGTGATGTAAACCCAGCCCTGCTCTCTTATCTACCTCTAGTGTCACTGTTTTGTGAGTATGAGTGTGTCTCAGAGTCCATATCACTACAGCGACCTGAAATGTGTGGTTAAACTATTGGAAATGTGTATTTACATGTTCACTATCAACTTCATAACTGGTAATTAGCAAAACATAAATACACCTCAAAATTGTCAACAATGCTTCACCCTCTGTCTCACCCCGCAAGAAACAGAAGATCTGTTCTGTGAACATTTAAAATGTAAGGAGGTTTGGTAACACGTGCAGTGGTAAGGTCAAACATGGAAGAGTTCATTAAATTATGCTTTAAAATTGACCATCTAAAAATGAGAAATGAAATGGTTCTACAATCACTAGAAGATCCTTTGAGTAGTTTAATTGGATTATTTTGAGAAATGCACATTACGGGACTCTACTGAAAATATTTCTGCACTGCCCCACCATTTTACATTTGGTGGTAAAGCTACTGAGTGGAGGGATTGTCGTTCTACTTTTTGTGCATATTTACATAAAGGCATTTGGGGGTATGGATGTACAAACATTTTCAGATGCATGCACAAAACTAACTATGATGCTTGGTTGGTAATGAATTAAAAATGAATGTCATACTAGAACCATAGCATTGTGTGTTGTTGTTCCATTCCACTAATGATTATATGCAACATGCAAGACATAGTGAATAGTGTTTTCCAGAGTTCTAAAGTTCAAATATAAAATCCAGTTTGGTACAGCTATGCAATCTTAATGGGACTTCACCTTTAACAGATTTTTTTTATATCTTTGATTTGCTTGATAGCTACAATTCTTTTGATGTTTGACATAAATAACATTGTCATCTAAGATTTTGAGAAGTAGGAAAAAAAATAATATATATCACAAATGTAAATTTTAACTACCGGAATTTACAAACCTCCCGACGGGATCTTTTTCTAAAGCAGGATCTCAAGAAACCATAATCTGCAATGAATTCAATTCTAGGGATACAAATGAAGTGACTGTAGAAATCACCTAGTCTAAGGGTTAAAATTACCAAAGATCAGTCCTAAAATACTCAATAAGTAAACAGCAAAACAAATCTGGGTGAACTACTTCAATATCCATATAGGGCATAAATCACAAAACATGTAGTTGTTTTTTTTTTGTTTGTTTTTTTCGCCATTGCTTAAAACGACATTATACATAACCAGCCACAATATAATCTAATTTAAAATCAGTGACAACCTGTATGTAATGCTTCTAGATAAAAAGTTAGCAATGTCCATCCAGTTCTTCCTGCATGGTGCAAACTTAATAATTGTCCGCGATACAGAACATTGTTGTATAAATCCAAAAGGACCGTTGTACCAATTGATTCCATCTAACCGAACCTTTACTACCAGGAGAGACAAAGAGAATCCAGTCTTCCGCAAGGTGCTTGGTTGTAGATACATGTTTGCAGTGCTTTTTCTACTCCCATTCATGTTGCTACCAATGCAACTTCAACCCAACACACATATTACCATATCATTTTTTTTGTTTTGTTTTGTTTTTTTAATTGTATTTGTTTCCAAAGAGTTTTCTTCCAGTGTGGCAACTCAGACAGATGCTAACTAAACACATTCCAAATCTCTTCAGGTATTATTTCTGGCAAACACTCGATCTCCTCTCAAAGTTAGATGCTGAAGCTGGTATTGCAAAACTTCTGTGTCTGCTGATTCCTTGATGTTCATTTTATCTAAATTGAGGTAGTCCAAGGACTTTGAATGTACTCTCTTTCCCTTGAGAAGGCAAACAGGCAAAGGACCATGAATAGGCTTATAGGACTCATAAGGAATAACTTTATTGCACTTATCTCCTGAGCTGGGCATTCTCCGTCTTCTCCTTCCATTGACCGCTGGAATTTCATATGGCTGGTAATGTCGTCCTTTTGCTTTGTATATCCGAGAAGAACGTGAAAGTCCAGTATCATGCTGCTTGGAACGAAAGGTTGACAAGGATTCCCCAGAATTCTCTTCTGTTGATGTACATTTGTGAGCTAACTTTAAGAGCTCTTCCCCAGTAGTAAAGCCCACGAGGTAATTGGAATCCATATGTAGAATTTGGTACCCTGACACTGTTCTACGAATTGGAGAGCACGGGGTGCTGGAGCAGCGAGGTTTCTCTCCATCTACCTTTACTGGCGAATTCCGCTCTATTGCATTAGGCACGGCTATGGGTGAAATATTAGTCCTGTTATCTCCGTTAATGTCCACTTCCATAATGGCGTTATCTGGCTTTCCTAAAATAAATAAATAAATAAAAAGTTAGGAATAATACAAAATAAAAAGACAGAGGTCCATGGACATATTAATAATATAGATCAACTATTAAAAATGTAAGCAATAATTACAAATATCAAAATCAAGACTGACCAATATTTATAGTTCTTGTGAATATTTTCTACTTTCTAAAAGAAAGTGCATCAAGAGGACACCAAGCCAGACAGATAGTAAATGTATTTTATCTGTCCATGTGTGTGATCTGTGTCTGACCTATTTTCCCCCACTGTCTGCAGAGAGAGTTACAGAGACACAATAGGAAGGAACTGATCTCACCATATTGTAAGCAAAATATGCATGCAAAGAATAGTAAAATTCTAAAAGAATAATTTTAAATATCATAAAACTATAGTACTTCCACAGGCAAGTGTTGTCATTTCAAGACCATTAACTGACAAGGAAGAGACTCCACCAATCGGAGCCTCTCCTCCTGATCTATTATTTTCCTATTGTTTATGCACAACCACAGTTACACCCATCACACTGAATGAATGAGTGAAAGTGTTTAAAGGGACACTATGGGCACCGAGACCATTTAAATCGCACTGAAGTAGCCTGGGTGCAATGTCCCTGTATCCTTAACCCTGCAATGTAAAACATTGCAGTTTTTGAGAAAAAGCAATGTTTATATTACAGGGATAAGACTGCCTATAGTGATTAGAGTGTGTCTTCAGGCTCTGCATGAGGACATCCAGCATCTTACAAAATCCATAGGAAAGCATTGATTACATGCTTTCCTATGGGGAAGGGCTAATGCACACACACTTGCTGAGCATAAACATTAGGTTCCCCCTCGCAATTATTATTATTATTATTATTGGTATTTATATAGTGCCAACTAATTCCACAGCGCTTTACAATATTATGAAGGGGGGTAGGAGGGGATTTACAATACATGTGACCATTACACAGTGACATCAGAGGAGGCGGACGGCTGTAATCATTTAAGTTTTGTAAAGTATTTTTAACCCTTTCATTGCCAAAAGAGGGCATGGTGCAGAGGGACACTATACAGCTTTCTATGACTAACACTACAGTGTTCCTTTAACCCCTTAAGGACCGAGGACGGTTCAGGACCGTCATCGGCATTTTTGCGTTGCCGACCGATGACGGTCCTGAACCGTCCTAACGGTCAGAGCTACTTACCTGATCGCCGTCGTTCCCCCGGCGGCGATCAGCGTGGCTCTGGTTGTGGGGAGACTGCCTGCAGCCCAGACAGTCTCCCCACGGCAGATTAGGACCCCTGTGGCCATGTGATCGCTTAACACAGCGATCACATGGTCACAATAGGTGTCCATGTGTCTGCCTGCAGGGGGACTGTCTGTGCTGACAGGCAGTCTCCCTGCATGTGTAAAATAAAAATAAAATAAAGTTAATGTTAATAAAAAAAATAAAAAAAATTATATATGTGTATGTATGATATATAGACATATATTATATCTATATAATATATGTCTATATATCATATATATATAATGTCATACTAAGTGTATTTTTATATTAATATGTACTTATATTAATATAAAAATACACTTATAATTAAATTACACACGTATATATATAATATATATAATAACTATATATATTGTATATATATATTATTATAAAATATAAATAATAAGTAATTTAAATTAAATAAATTTTTTTTTAAATAATAATAAAAAATTTAAAAAAAATTATATAGCTATATGAAATTTTATTCTAACTGTATTTTAAAATTAATATATATATATTTATATCAAAATACACTTAGAATGAATTTGTATATATATCTATGTATATAAAAATAAATAAAAATAATAAGAAATATACATACGTCCATATACAAAATTACATAAATAATTATATAAATATACACGTAGACTTCAAATATATAAATATGCATATATATTTAAATTCTACGTGCGTATTTATGTAATAGTTTTACATAATTCAGTAATTTTATTGATTGCAATTTAAGGGACCTGCCTGCCAACCCAGGCCGAAATTCCAGAGAATTGAATTTGCTAGCACTGTATTTTACCCTGTAACGTTCTACGACACCCTAAAACCTGTACATGGGGGGTACTGTTTTACTCGGGAGACTTCGCTGAACACAAATATTAGTGATTCAAAACAGTAAAACATATCACAGCGATGATATTGTCAGTGAAAGTTACTTTTTTTGCATTTTTCACACACAAACAGCACTTTTACTGATGATATAATTGTTGTGATACGTTTTCCAGTTTTTAAACACTATACAAATAAAAACATCTTGTTACATCCACCGGAAGTGATTACGATGGATGTCAATAAAAACATCTTGTTACATCCACCGGAAGTGATTACGATGGATGTCCAATCAAAAACCGAGAAGTCCGAACCCGGAAGTGAATGAATTTTCCGCGGCAATTTCAAATGGTGAAGGCTATATAAAGAAAACAGAATTTTTAATTCTTTATCCCTGAAGAAGTCTTTCAAAAGACGAAACGCGTTGGATATTTTGCTACAGAGAGACTCCTTCTCCTGGGTACCACTTGTTAGTGGTGATATGCTGCTATGAATTTTATTTGATGTAAGTGCATTTTGTATAAATAAATTAATTTTTATCTACAATACTGCTCTATATACCTCTTTTTCTTCTGAGGATTGAGCGTCTTGAATTTGCACCTTTGGTCCGTATATACAAGCTTCCTAAGAGAAGAACCTTTTATCCACATACCCTATGGAAGGGAGACAAGTTCAGATCTACAGTTTGGTCCTGTAAGTTCTCTACCTCCGGGAGTGTATTATACATTGACTGTACATGCTTCACTATTGTGTGATTTTTCTTATATTTTAGATCTTGTGAAGGAAGTTTCTTGTATTATCTACAGGTTGTATATATTTTTTGTGCTACCCCTTTAATCTATACTAGTATTTTATACAGTATAGATTTACTTTTTTGTTCATATTATATTGGTGTATGTGAGGTACACTGTTGGGTGTTTGGCACGTTTCCTCTTGTCTTGGTTGGGAGATTATATAGTACCTCTTTCTTTTTTGCATATACTATTGTATTCCTCACTTGGTACTATATACTCACATGGCATTTAACAATGTTTATCACGAAATGCGACAAGAACGCAACAAAAGGATTAATTTATTATTTCATCAAAAGAATGTGGTCCTTGATAATTCTCTTTCTAAGAGTTTTGTAAAATTGGAATTGCTATTAGAAAAAGAGACTAAAAAATGGTGGGAGATTACCTCCCTTGAACAGTACCTAGCATCCAATATTGTTCCTAGAGGCCTTAGAGTATTAAAAACACCTGCTTATGGCCTGGAGGACCAAATACTAATAGATGAATGGTTTAAAGCTAGTGATGAATGTTCAAAAAAATACATTCAAAGTCTGATTGATTTTCAAAAAAGATCACTAAAGCTCATAGAAGAAGAAATTCAGACTCTAGAAAGAGAAATTGTCTCACATAAAGACATTAGAGTTGTGGAGGATAATTATAAAATCCTAAAAGAAAAAATAAAAACAGTAGATGACAGGATTTCCAATATCAAAGCTAGTAAATTCAAAAGAGACCAAATTGACTATAAGGAAGGTAAAATCAGAAACTGGTCAAAAAATAAAAGGGAGAAAAAAGAACAAACTAATTCGGTACAAAGAACTGTACCACATTCTGACTCTGAGTCCCAAAGATATAGAGGTCTAGACACCAAATGGAACAGAGTTAAAAGTGACAGAATTAGACCAGATAGTATAAGTGATATGGAAGTACATCACGCACCGCACAATCTAACCAAAAATACACCTTCGGTTTTTTTAGACAGGGAGCCATCCCTAAAAAAAGAAAATACTCTAAATGTCAAGAACAGGTTTCAGATTTTAAGTTCCCCAAAAAAGAAAAGACCACATATAGAACTAGAAGAAGTGGAAGATCCGCTCCTTTCACTAACCCTCCACTCACAACAATAAAAGATACATCAGGTATTTTTAATATATCAGGTATAGAATTAACTTCACATGAATTGAATTTATTAAATAAAGGTTTAAAATTCGCACCGACCGCAGGAATAAAATCCTTTGATCTTTTTCTTGATAACCAAAAATTTCTCAAAAAATTAACTATAAAACGTTTTTTTGAAAAACGTAATGAGAATGTCCAATTAGAATCAAGGGACAATAAACAACCAATAGAATCACCAACAGAAGTTTGTCCGAATGTTTCTTCATCTTTAAAGGGAAGGTCTAATTTTTATCCCTCCCATGAAAAAGGAAGATATTTAGAAGTATTTAATGATTTGGTTCAGAATGACCTTGACAAAATTCAATGGAAACATAAAGATTCTAAATGTAATTTAACAAATAAAGAAAGACAAGCTCTAAATACATTAAAAAAGAATTATAATTTGGTTATAAAAGAGGCCGATAAAGGAGGTGGAACGGTCATCATGAGTAGGGAATATTATATGCAAGAAGCTTACCGAATTTTGGGAGATGAGTCTACATATAAAAAGCTTGCTAATGATCCCACAAAACCTTTTTTGGAAGATTTGAGATCTTTACTCCAGAAGGGTTTGGATCAAGCTATTATTTCATCAAAGGAATTTCAGTATATTTTTAATCCCTTTTGTAAAACAGCCATTTTTTACTTTCTCCCCAAAATCCACAAATGTGTAACGACCCCCCCAGGTCGACCCATTATCAGTGGAATTAACTCTTTATCGTGTAATCTCTCTGAATACGTGGATTTCTTTTTAAAACCTTATGTATCTTTGTGTCCCTCTTTTGTTAAAGACACTACTCATATTCTTCAAAGTTTACAGTCATTCATTTGGAAACCATCTTATATATTAGCTACAGTGGACGTTACCTCCCTGTACTCCAATATCCCTCATGTTAAGGGTTTGGAGGTTATCAGAGACGTTCTAGTCCTACAACATGTTTTAAACTCCACTCAGATCGATTTTTTGGTGTCCTGTATCCAATTCGTTTTGGAAAAGAATTTTTTTTGGTTTGATACTGCTTTTTTCTTGCAGCGATGTGGCGTCGCCATGGGGACAAGGTTCGCCCCAAGTTTCGCCAACTTATATGTATCCCATTGGGAAGCCTCATGCATCCAGCTGGGTCCTTGTATGGGGGGGAGCCTTGTCCTATGGCGGCGCTACATCGATGATGTACTTATTATTTGGGAAGGAGATGTCCAGAGTCTAGAAAGATTTATTGAAAGCATTAATTCTAACGACTATAATCTTAATTTTACCCATAACATTCATCCGTTTACCATAGATTTTCTGGATCTAACTTTATATATAGAAAATGACACTTTGAACACAAAAACCTTCTTTAAAAAAACTGATTGCAATACAGCAATAAAAAAGACTAGTTTACACCATCCAGTATGGCTAAACAATATCCCTAAAAGCCAAATAACCCGAATGAGAAGAAACTGTTCTAGTGTTCAAATGTTTGAAGAGCAATCAAAATTAATACAAAACAGATATGTGGAAAAGGGGTATAATATAGACCATATACAAGATGATATTGAAAAAATAAAGGACAAAGATCGTACAGAATTTTTGAAAGATAAAAATTTAAACCATAAAAATAAAAATAAAAATAACTATAGTTACAAAGATTTTGCATTTATTACCAAGTACAGTTCTGAAGCCAAGAAAATTGAAAAAATCCTTAAAAAACACTGGGCCATTTTAAAAAGAGATGATGTTTTAGGAGATAAAATTCCAGAAAGGCCTGTAGTTATATATAGGAAGGCAGACACCCTTAAAAATAAATTGGCACCTAGTTTGTTACCAAAATTGATTAAAGGTCCAAATTCGAAAAACTTTTTACAATCCACAAAAACTCCAGGTTTTCATAAATGTGGAACATGTTCCACATGTGTCTATCAAAAAAGAAAATCTACCTTTTTTGTAGGATTTTATACTAATCAAACATATACTATTAAGAAATTTATCCATTGTACATCCACATATGTGATTTACCTTTTACAATGTGGTTGCGGAGCTCAGTATGTGGGAAGAACCACCAGGACCCTACACACTAGACTCCGGGAACATTTTAATAATATTAGAAACCAAAAAACGGAACATAGTGTCCCAAATCATTGTAATTCTTGTCATCTATTTGATTGGTCTACCTTTATTGCTATTGGTATAGATCAAGTAACTCCCCATTGGAGAGGGGGAAATAGAACTAATGATCTAGCCAAAAAAGAGGCCTTTTGGATTTACACACTTAATACCCTTAAGAGAGGTCTTAATCAAGATATTGATCTGGCGGGCCTTTTGTAATTATTTATGTAACATGTTTGAATTTTTATACTTTGTTTTTTTCTTTATCTATATATATTTTTATAGGTATGGTTTTTAGATATGGATGTATATTTAGATAGGGACTTGGGTATTTATATGCTCTATTCTTCTATATACATATACATGTTTATACTATGTATTTTTTAGTTTGTGTTTTATAGAGTACTTGGATGTCATCCATATTTTGATAGACATATTATTGTTTTTATATTTCTTTGTTTTGTATATTATGTAACTAGATGGTCATTGGTATTTTCTCCCTGTGTCCCACTCTGGGACGTTCGGTGCCCCAAATGCAATTTGTGCGCCTGGGTCTGTCCGTGCGTTCCACGGTGGAACGCGGAAGTGTCATGGCATAGAGCCGCACGTTATGAACGCCATGCGTTCCAACTTGGAACGCGGAAATGAATACATCTAGCCGCACGTTATGGACGCTATGCGTTCCAGCTTGGAACGCGGAAATAAAAACATCTTGTTACATCCACCGGAAGTGATCACGATGGATGTCCAATCAAAAACCGAGAAGTCCGAACCCGGAAGTGAATGAATTTTCCGCGGCAATTTCAAATGGTGAAGGCTATATAAAGAAAACAGAATTTTTAATTCTTTATCCCTGAAGAAGTCTTTCAAAAGACGAAACGCGTTGGATATTTTGCTACAGAGAGACTCCTTCTCCTGGGTACCACTTGTTAGTGGTGATATGCTGCTATGAATTTTATTTGATGTAAGTGCATTTTGTATAAATAAATTAATTTTTATCTACAATACTGCTCTATATACCTCTTTTTCTTCTGAGGATTGAGCGTCTTGAATTTGCACCTTTGGTCCGTATATACAAGCTTCCTAAGAGAAGAACCTTTTATCCACATACCCTATGGAAGGGAGACAAGTTCAGATCTACAGTTTGGTCCTGTAAGTTCTCTACCTCCGGGAGTGTATTATACATTGACTGTACATGCTTCACTATTGTGTGATTTTTCTTATATTTTAGATCTTGTGAAGGAAGTTTCTTGTATTATCTACAGGTTGTATATATTTTTTGTGCTACCCCTTTAATCTATACTAGTATTTTATACAGTATAGATTTACTTTTTTGTTCACTAATATTTGTGTTCAGCGATGTCTCCCGAGTAAAACAGTACCCCCCATGTACAGGTTTTATAGCATTTTTGAAAGTTACAAGGTCAAATATATGGGTCAAATATTTTTACATTGAAAATGGCCAGGTTGGTTACGTTGCCTTTGAGAGCGTATGGTAGCCCAGGAATGAGAATTACCCCCATGATGGCATACCATTTGCAAAAGAAGACAACCCAAGGTATTGCAAATGGGGTATGTCCAGTCTTTTTTAGTAACCACTTGGTCCAAAATTAGCGTTCAATTTAGTTTTTTACTTTTTTCACACACAAACAAATATGAATGCTTACTTTGGCCAGTGTTTTCGACTAAGTGGCTACTAAAAAAGACTGGACATACCCCATATTGAATACCCTGGGTTGTCTACTTTAAAAAAAATATGTACATGTGGGGTGTTATTCAGAGATTTATGACAGATAATAGTGTTACAATGTCACTATTGATAAATTTTAAAAAATTTATGTTTTGAAACCGCAATATCCTACTTGTACCTATAGCCCTATAACATGCAAAAAAAAGCAAAAAAGCACGTAAACACTAGGTATTTTTAAACTCAGGACAAAATTTGGAATCTATTTAGCAGTTTTTTTCATTCGCTTTTGTAGATGAGTAAAAGATTTTTCAAGTAAAAGTCAAAAAACATGTATTTTTTCAATTTTTCATCATATTTTTTTATTTTTTTTAAATTAAAATACATGAGATTATATAAATAATGGTATGTAAAGAAAGCCCCTTTTGTCCTGAAAAAAACAATATATAATTTGTATGGGAACAGTAAATGAGAAAGCGGAAAATTACAGCCAAACACAAACACCACAAAAGTGTAAAAATATGCCTGGTCGCAAATGTACAACATCGCAAAAACAGTCCAGTCCTTAAGGGGTTAATGAGCTGCTCGCAGTCACACCACAGCTGCAGCAATCTGCCAAACTGCTGACTGTGCACTGATACCGGAGAGGCAGAGGGTGAGCTAATAGCTGCAGTTCTTAGCCAGAACTGCTTTACATTTACCGCTCTGCCGTATAAGAACTTATTACCTAAAGTCATTCCTTACATGACTTATTCACTAACGTGAGAAGTCCAAGTGGATTTCAAACTTGATGACACAGTAGCCAAACTGGAAGCATTGTGGAGACAGATACATTTCCAGTTTAGCTATTTTAACCTTAATCTGAAGTTTACTTTTAATTCCCTACCTGGGCAGTGCTTAGTGCAGATCAAATCAGGGGATATACATGAAATTAAAAAATTCTAAATGTGCATTTTTTTTCTGATTTGTTCCTTTTGCATAATGTTTTCAAATATACTATTTATAGAATAGATTAAAAAAAAAAAAAAACCTGAATATAGAGGAATTCATTCAGAGCCCACCTCAGCGTGTAAATAAAGTTTTCAGCCACATAGTCATTGCCCTGCCGTGGTTTCTTCTTGGTTCCTCGTATAGTGCATTATATATTCTCTGAGTTTCTGGTTGTTCGATTTTGGCTTGTTTATTGACTCTCCTGACCTGGCTAGTTCCATCATATTCCTAGTCTCCTGACCTTGGCTAGTATCATGTTTACGCTCCTCTCTTTTCACACAGTAAACCCAGCCATTCTAAGGACCGGTAATACATACTTTCTGTCTTCCTATCTCTGCCTATGCCTGTAAGTTGGGTAACTTAAGTTGAGTAATTCTCTCATGGATTCCTCGGTGCAACTTTAAACATTTACTTGAGGCTATACCTATGGACAATGCATTGGTGTAACTTATGTGACAAATGTACAATTAAGGAGATAATAACCACTCAATGCTACATGCAAGGGTTGAGAAAAGATGGTTGCTGACTAGGCCCCATAACGTAGAGTAACTGAATATGGCCAAAGGACAGAGAAAAGATGCCCATCACTAATGTTCTTCGTAAAGGAAAGAAAAAAAATATTTAGACAAGAAAGCCTATCATAAAGATGCTGTGCAAAATTATCTAAAGTAACAGAAAGTTAAAATCCCATGTTGCTTGAAACTTAAGGTTCGTATCGGACCTTTTTTCTAGGGACCGGCCTCTACTTGTCAATGTTCCGGTTATTACTGTTAGTGTTCCACACTACAAAATTTTACAAGTAGTGAAAGGGAGTTACTAGCAGCTGCTACTAAGAGAGAGTTTCTAAGTAACGGCTAAAGGCACCCATTCTTTTCTGTGGGAGATGCTAACAGCATTTTCAACGTAAAGAAAGTAAATTAATGATAATTTGCAAATCGCTGATAAATCTCAGATTCCTGTGCAGATATTAAGAATTTTCCAACATTTCCCAAAAAATGAATTTGCCAGATTTTTTGTAACCCTGTTATATAATTCAAGGAGCCAATTTTCAAGAACTCTCCACAGCTTTCTTTAAAAATGTGCACAAAAGCATTTGCATTATCTGAGAATCTAAGTAGGAAATCCATCCATAGGAACATTACCCTTCAATGCCTTGACTATTTTAAAGGAATGTAAGAGAGGTACTGTGCAACTCAGTATGAGGAAGGAGTTAATACGTAGGAGGAATTAATGTACAGGTACAGAAAGGTGTTGTTTGGCGCTACTCTGTTATAGCTATACTGTGTCTTTAACCTAGATTTTTTTATTTTTAAATCGCTGCTCAGATTATCGTTCTTACAAAAAAAAAAAAAGTAAGGTTTTCCACTAGAGGATGAATTAACAGAAATTCAGTTGGAGTTTCCAAATAACCAAAGAATGCAGGATAAAAATATGAAATTTACCTAGTATCTTTAGGGCTCTCCTTACCCCTTCTCTCCTCAAATATTGGTGGGTGTCTTAACTAGGCACAATTGTTGTATGCGGCGACATGGGAAGTAGTACAGCATGTTCATGGTTAATATAAAAAATTAAAATAACACATTACATCATTTAATTTAGTAAATCCTGCCTAGGAAATAGTTCTCTTGTGCACCAGCTTTAACTAATTTATAGGCATGATCTACTAAATTGTACGCACAGCATAACTATATAGAGGGCAGTAGGGCACCCACCAGTCCCACTGCTGACTTGGCCTGCTCAGTTCCGTTTCCTAGTTGGGTTTCAACCTGGAGGTGGACTTGGCCAGCTCCTCCAATGAGGCCAGATATATATATTTGGGAAAAGGCAATGTTTACAATTGAATGCCTGCAGGGACAGTCTATTGTGGTTCTGGTGCTTAGAGTGTCCCTTTAAGATAAAATAAACATCTAAAACTCTAGCTATCTAATATGCCATCACCCGCTTTTTTAATAAACTCTTGGTTTCCTTATTTATGATCACGTCACAGCGCTTTGGTGAAAGCATGCGCCCGTCACATGTTACTGTTTATATGCGATTGTATGCGCATGCATGTCAAAATGAATAGTGATGCTACTGTAGTAATGCGTGCACATGAATAAAAACACCCATTTTCCTTTACATTATTGTTTTGGGGTTTGTTCGTTCCTAACTGGTTTTCTCCTGCAATTGAAATATCTATTTTCGAATAGCACTGCCTACATTGGCTTCAATCTTACTCGACATTTGCATATGATGAATGTTGGTTTCTTGTTTTTGGCAGGACTTGGTCTTTACCCGGTGTGACTTTGCCCCTTTTCAGCTGGCATTCTCGTCCGATTTCATTTTCCCTTCGCAATGATTTAATGCAGGTTCCCTGCTTTAGGATGTATGTATCCAGTTCCTTGATCCAATTTCATGACCTACTTGTGTTCCTGCTCTGTTTCCTGTGCTAGTTACTAATACAATGTTGCCGTATTCCTGATGCATGTTCCCATTTCCCTTTACTTAGTTCTATTGTGATATTTTGTCCTTGTCATCGTCTATTATCCAGAGCTCCTATTGCTGAAAATGGATACAAAATACGCAATTTGCCTCTGCCCCTTTAGCATCAAATCCTGCTGCAGTATCCGGCTCCCACTTTGGTTTGGGGGGAGGGATGTTCCAGGTCACTCGTAATTCCCTGTATCCTAGTGACCCAACCTCATTCTTTGTGGTTCAACTCATACATGCATTTATCCAAAAGTATTTTGCTGCCTACCTGCATCGCCATTCAGGTACCCTGTATAAAGACCAGTCGACCCATTACAGAATGGGCAGCGAAGTCGCAGCATAAACAACAGATTTACAATTATTTGTGCTGATAAATAATGTGGAGGTGTAAACCGTGGGCACTGTTGCCACGGTTACAATACACTATGTGTTACCAGAACATCACATCGTTAAACCCTTTTTTTTTTTACATATATATAATAGCCTGGTTCATCAAGAGAATAAATAAATAAAATTGGTGAGAAATGCGCTCATGTAATTAAAGATTGACTGCAAATATTATAAGTTCATGTTTTCTGCAGAAAACTGCATACTGTTGTCCGTCTAGATTGGATGTTCCCACAGGAATAGAGCCCTCAACTCCTCCTGTATTTGTTTATCAAAATGTGTTGTCCCCAGGATGTATTGTACCTTCTTTTCCTTTTTACTTGTACCAACTGAAATCATGTACAGCGCTGCGGAATGTGTTGGCACTTTATAACTAAACAATAAGAATCGTGGGTTATCCATTACCCATTAAATATTAGATAATCATATTATTCTACAAATATTAAAAGGACAGGGACACTGCACACAGACCACATCATTGAGATGAAGTAGTCTGCTTGATTAAGAAGTGCCTACAACAGTTGTCTGACTGACACCAACACATGTAAACATTACCATTTGTAAAAATGTGCAAAATTGTACTGCCAGAGAAAATGGACAGCATATCTTAAAAAAATAATAAAAAAAATACTACATAAAGATGTAGTGGTTTTGGTGTCTAGTGTCCCCTTAACAGTCCATACTTTCTACGATAATGAAACTGCGCCATCAGCTATCAAGAATCACATAAACCCAGAGAATATGGCAGTTAGAGGAGCTACAAATAACAGAGCCTTAAAATGAGAAATATATAGGTAAATATATAATAGAATGGACTATAAGAGGCTAATGTGTTACAGAAACACTCAAAGCACCATAACCCCTTCAGGGTTCTTAGGACCAGATTACTGTAAGAGCTATTGGAGCCGTAACTCCAGGTCCATGCTTGGAATAGTCCACCCATACCCACAGTTTATCTGTTCTTTTATTTTCATCTATTTATAATAAAACAGTCTGCTGAATCTACACTGCGCTGCTATCGAACTGTATTTATTTATTAATGGTTTCCCAGTTTTAGCCAGTACTGTGTGTCTGCACTTTTTCACTTTGTGTGTGCTCACACAGAATCAGATATGGAAGATAACAATCACACAGAGGTTGGCAGTATGTCTCAACTACTACGACAATGACCATTGATGTTCCACAACTCTCATTACGTCTATTACATTTTTCAGATCCAGATCTTTGAAGTCCTTAATCCAGCTTGTGAACCACAGCTGAAGAAAAAAATAATATCTATAGAAATGTAAAATACTAAATCCTACAGAGACAGGTTTATCGTTCCGGTCATTCCTGAAGAGCATGACTATCGAGGTGATCCGTGGATATTTACTTATTTAATCTATACAACGTGCTGGCAAAACGGCCAAGAGTTTCACAAATTACATCCTTCACAACTAAGAACTGAGCCAACTTTTCATACAGTATCAGCCCTGCTAAGTCATGAAGGGTTTATGTTTCCTCAAGATCAAATCATGCAGTTCCAAGATGGTTGCATGCAAATCAACCCCGTAAACGCTCACTAACTGTGTTAACATGCCATGCAGTACTACAAAATATAGGCTTTAATACCGTTAGCACTCCCTCTGGCTTGCCTGATCGGTGGGGGCTGCTGACAACCCAGACAGTCCTCCTGCAGCTTCCGAGTCGTGACTCGTAGTGGCTAAATTAGCTGCAGGGGGACTTCCTTGGTTGTCAGGCAGATTCCCTGAAATATTATCAATAAATTCATATATTCTACATATAATATACATTTGAAATAAAAACAAGAAAAAAAAAAAATATATATATATATACACACATATATGTGAACATATATATATCTATATAAACACACACACATATATATATTACTATAATTCATAACAGCTCAACAGAAATACCAGAGATTATGATTTGCAAGCCCTATATTTGCTCCTGTAACGTTCCAAAACCCTACAAAACCTGTAAATGGGAGACAGCGTTGTACTTGTGGGATATCCCAGCATAGAAATAGGAGAGTTTTATTGCATATGTATTACGCTATATGTATTATGACATTCACAGTTAAAATGTCATGCAAGACTTGAAAAATAAAAATATTTCCTAATTTCTCACACTTTATTTGTATTTTATTCATAATTAATTATGTTTCATACATAAATATTTAATGCAAAATGAAAGCTCTATTTCTCCTGAACAAAATGATCTATAATAAGTGTGTTTGCATTTAATATGAAAGAGGTAAATTATGGTTAAACAGACGTATAGTGAAATTCCAGGTTTTGTTTGGGTTCAGAACTTGGACAATTGTCTCTGTTATTAAGGGGTTTAACCACCTTAATATTTTTCTAAGGCACCACAAGTCAAAAAATGTTCTAGGTTGTAGATATGTACAGCGCTGCGGCATACACTGTGCCCCTAATCTTGGGAGTGGCACTGGTAGATTATTTAAAGAAATGATACAGGCACAATAACCACTACATTACATTGTAGTGGTTATGGTGCCAGTAGTGCCCTCCCTGGGTAAGTAGTCAAACTGTTTAAGAACAATTTGACAACTTACCTTGGGTCTGCCGGGATAGGGGCTGTAGTGTGTGTGTGTGTATGTGTGTGTGTGGTGCAATATGTATGTGAGTAGTGGAGTGTTTGTGAGGGTTGCAGTGTGCATGTACAGGGGTGCAGTGTGTTTGTGAAGGATGTAGTTTGTGTGTGTGAGGGGTGCAGTGTGTGTCTGTGGGGTGCAGTGTGTGTGTGTATGGGGGGGTAATTGTGTGTATGTGGGGCAGTATGTGCATGAGGGGTACAGTGTTTGTGTGTGGGGTGCAGTGTGTGTGTGTAAGGGGGGGTAATTGTGTGTATAGGGGGTAGTGTGTGTGTGTGGGGGGCAGTGTGTGTGTATGGGGGTAGTGTGTGTGTATTGGGGTAGTGTGTGTGTGTGTATTGGGGGCAGTGTGTGTGTATGGGGGCTGTGTGTGTATGGGGGGGCAGTGTGTGTGTATGGAACAGCTATTGCGTGGTGTGGGGTCTGTGGGGGTAGGAGGGCAAATTAATGAATATATACTTTTATTTTATATTAAAAATAAAAATGATATTCCTCCTCCCTGCTTACCTTTGACTGGGAAGGGGGACATTACCTGTAATCCCTGGTGGTCCGTGGGGAAGGTGGTGACAGTGAACTCTAGAGTCAGGGGCTACTAGAGTTCACTCTCGCGAGATTTGGAGCATTGCCGCGGTAACCGCAGCAACACTACGAGCTTGTGAAAGGAGAACCCGGCGGAGGTGCAAGTTAGAGCTCCCCCGGATCCTCTCTCCCTCCCTCCCCTTCCGGCTGTCAGCAAAGGGCTAGCGGGCCAGAGAGGGTCCTGCAGAGCCGACAGGGGAAAGCACAGTTCCCGGTGCTATGATTATAGCACCGGAAAAATATCTTGCACCATAGCTCTGCGCAGGGCCGCCATCAGAAATTGTGGGGCCCCTAACACAGCTCAAGGTCTGGGCCTCAGGGTGCCCGCCTCCAAATCGTGCCCACAGGAATACACACACACAGACACAAAAGGACACAGACACACACACAGAAAGAGACACACATACTAACAGACACAAATACTGAAACAGACATACACACATATAGACACATACACAGATAGATACACACACATACTGACATACAGACACACACACACACATATATACAGACATACATACACATAAATACATACTGACATACATACATAATGGCATACATACACATACATACTAATATACATACATACACACACAGATAGATATATACATACACAGATACATACAGACATACTGACATACACACACACACACACACACACATATACATACATACAGACATATATACATACTGACATACACACACACATACAGATAGACACATACAGACATACTGACATACACACACAGACATACATGCATACTGACATACATACATACACACATACATACTGACATACATACAGACATATATACATACTGACATACACACACAGACATACATACATACTTGCAGACACATACACAGACAAACATACATACTGACATACACACAGACATACATATATACACACAGACATACATACTGACATACACATACAGATAGACAGATACGCACATACATACAGACATACTAACACACACACACACATACACACATACTGACATACACACACAGACATATATACATACTGACATACACACTGACATATATACTGACATACACACAAAAAACATACATACTGACATACACACACACACATACATATATACATACTGACATACACAGAGACATACATACACACACACAGACATACGCACACACACACACACATACTGACATACACACACAGACACATATACATACTGACACACACACACACAGACATATATACATACTGACACACACAGACATACAGACATATATACATACTGACATACACACAGACATACAGACATATATACATACTGACATACACACACAGACACAGACATATATACATACTGGCATACACACACACACACACACACAGACATATATACATACTGACATACACACACACATACATACTGACATACATACATATACACACACACACTTCATTTATCAGCCACCCTCCTCTTACCTTTAAGATGCAGGAGGGTGGCTGGGGATGCCTCTGGTGTCCTCTCCTGGCCTCTGCTCTCCTGGCTCCCCTCTCCCCCTGCGCGGAGTAAGCTGGGAGGAAGTGACCGGCCGTCACTTCCTCCCAGCAGCATTTGCGGTGCAGCCGCAATTTTTTTTTTTTTTAAAGGGGCCCAGTCGCAGCGCTGAATGCTTGGGCCACCTGATGGGCCCCGGTGCAGATGCACCTGCGGCAGTTTTGCCGCTCCACGTGGGGCCCGGGCAGCCAGGCCCCCCGGGCCCGTGACAACCGTCATGGTTGTCACCCCCTGATGGCGGCCCTGGCTCTGCGGCACACAGTATATTTAAATAACATGAGGTCTTTTTTTTTTTCTTTTAATTCTTTATTTTTGTTGTGCACAAATTAACAAACAGCCTCAGTATGCCACAACAGCGGTATTGAGGTATATAGAAATTAAATATGCAATACAAGATGTGACATTTGATATTTAGGCACAATTTTTTAAAGAGTAAGCTTTAGATAAGTCAGACTAGTGAGTTCAAGAATAGTAGGCTAAGTTGAGCTGACAGTTTAGGTTATTTAGTTAGCACATAAGTAGTTAAACATGGTCTAAAACTTGCACATTAACTATAGGAACAGTGAGCGGAGTTTAACACGTGCTAGGCAAGTATAGGTTCATATACCACATGCTCGTAGTGCCACGACAGCAGATACAAACTCAACCACAACATATATGTGGAATTACAAGCCTGGCAATATAAAAGTCATGTATAATGATATATTGCTTCAGCGGGCAGTAGGTGTCCGCAGATCTTAACACTTTATATAAGGAATAAAAGGTTATATGCATATATATATATGTAAAAACAAGAAAATTATAGAACATGGCAGCATTGAAGGGAACCGCACTCCGACAGTTCCTTGATAACAGTTATGGCGATTCTGAACTGTCCCTGGTGTTAGGCAGGTGTCTCTTGGTCGGACTGCTCTGTTGTTTTGCTCTCCCCATGGCCTTTTTCTCATGTGTTTTTCCCTCTCGGTTTGTCTCTTCTGGCGTGTTGGCGGCTGGTCAGCCCAGTTTGTTAAAGAAAGTCTCTGGGTTATCTGAAGAAGTTAGGGTGAATGTTTCTGTGCCTTGTGTGACGGCCAGAGATCCATCCGCATTCCATCGATATCTGATGGAGCAGTCCCGCAGCCTCCTAGCCACTGGGGCCAGCTGTCTTCTTTCCGCCAGGATGGCAAATGGGAGGTCACTGTAGATGGAGAGGTTATGGCCCTCAAAACTCACTTGGCCCATAGATCTGGATTTAGCCATAATAGCGGTCCTCACCGCAATGTCCTTGGTTGTCACAATGACATCTCTCGGTGCGCCTGCTGGTGCCGCTGCGGATTTGCGTATTCGGAAGGCGGCCAGGATGCAAGGGGTGCCTGTGGGGCTGTGAATGCCCATTGAGGTAAACAGCTTTTGAACATATTGCAGTGTGTTCCCCCCCCTCAACCTGTTCAGGTAGACCTCTCAGACGCACATTCCGACGCCTGTGTCTGGACTCCAGTGTGAGCACCATTTTGCTTATTTGTTTAACTTGTGAGGTGAGATCCTCCACATGTTGTGTAGTGGTCTGGAGCTGAGTGTCCCTGGCTTGTTCTCTGCTCTCCATTGCAGACATCTCATGCTGCAGGGCCTTGACCTCAGTTTGTGTTTTCTGGAGGTCGGACTTCCACATTGTTCTCAGATCTAGGAGCAATTTTTTAATATCTCCCTTTGTGGCGGGGGATGAGTCCTCATCTGAGTTAGTTCGCTGGTACACTCCATCTGGGTGAGGAGAGATGATATATTCCTCCTCTTCAGGGGAGTCGTCAGAGGCATCTTGCTCACTGTATTGCTCAGCTGCCGCCCTTGTGGGAGTTTGCTGGGGTGCCCTCCCAAAGGATAGTCTTATATCCTGCACTGCAGGCCTGTCTGTCTGGAACTGTCTTTTATGCTTGCGCCCCATATCGTCTGTGGGTATGTATATGATACCGGGATCTCCCTCTCCGGTGGGGGGGGGGGGTGGTGAGGCAAGTCTCTGGTGGAGTCTACTGTGGGAGCTGAGTCACCCTGTACCTTAGCAGGGGGAATGGCCACTTCCTGCCTGCCCGCATGTGGTAGGCCCCAACTCGTGCTGCAGACCCGAGTGATGGGGCTAGCGCTGCAGTTGTTGCTCCAGGCAGTCTCCGGGTGGCTCCCCAGCTGCACGTGGTTGGACCCGGTACGAAACAGCTTGATCAAAGCTGTGTTTTCCCCCAAATCGTCGCGGTGCAGCCGGAGCTCCAGTAAGTTGCGACCGCTCAGCTCCGCTGTTAGGCTCCGCCCCCAATAACATGAGGTCTTAAGTACCACTCCAATGGCCATTAAAGAGTAAGCTCACCTGTCAAGTCAAGGCAAATCTCCTAGGAGAATTCAATAGTAACCACTGACCTTGTTGCATTCACATTAACCCCTTAAGGACACATGACATGTGTGACATGTCATGATTCCCTTTTATTCCAGAAGTTTGGACCTTAAGGGGTTAAAGGAAAAACGCTGAGACCCTTACACATGTATTAAAGGGACACTACAAGTGCCAGGAATACAATGCTGTATTCCTGGCACTGTAGTCCCTCTGCGTCCCCTGGTAAATAAAGGGTTAAAAACTCTTTACTTACCTTATCCCAGCGCTGATGTCCCTGAGCGTGAGGACATCCAGTGTCAGATACCGGACCAAAGGTTTGCTTATATCCAGGAAGCGCCTCCAGTGGCTGTCTGGGAGACACCCACTGTGGGCAGACTTAGAACTGCAATGTAAACATTGCAGCACTAAGGGCAAAAGGGGCACTATATTCACTATATATATGGTATGGGTGCCTACGGTGTCCCTTTAACCCTTAGCAGGGCACAGATGTGGTGAGCAGCAGGACCGTGTTATACAAAGGCTGTTATTACTTGCAGGAATTGTGGTATCAGGAGAGTGGAATTTGATAGCAGGCTGACACATCAGATACTGACATTCACAGAGGAGTTTGTTGTCTTCTATTCGACCTCTAAGCCAACATTTTGAAAAGATAACCATGCGCATGGGAACTCCAAAACATGATGAGTGGGGGAGCAACTCACTAACAAAATCCAACCCCTCTTCACATATCCACACGGCATAGATTAAAATGCACGATTCTATAGAGACAAGAATACTCAGCACGCTATACACCATGCATGACAAATACACATTAACAGTATAAACGTAATTTAATATAGTGTCAATTATCGAGAAGTAAAAGTCAGCCATGTTTGCCACTGGGCAATTTCGGCCTAACATTTAAAAATTTAAATTGGGACAAAATTGTTGAATTGTAAAATCTTTTCCAAGTTATCTGATTTTTCGAGCAATGCTTAGCCTAAAGTTTGTGAAATTCACAGTTTTGGGAATAAATTCCTTAGTGTATGTATAGTGTAATGTTTTGTGTATGAATGCATTATATTTGTGTGTTTGGTAAATAATGCAGTAGAAATTGCACAATTCCAGGTAGAAAATAATGACCTATTTGAACTGTGTCATATAACATACATATGCAGATGCTTTTTTCCCTTGAATTCACACTATAAGTCATTGTTTAGTAAGTGGGTAGAATAAAAACATGAAATTGATGCTTACATATTGCAGTGTCATCTAGTAACCCATTGGAATCACTGACATAGTCTGTTTGAGAAAAATAAAAAAAATAAAAAAATAAATAAACTTCATAGTATATGGCATTGAGAACAAAATTGCCCTGTGATTGCTGTCCATTTCCTGATATTGACACTTGAGTTTATCAGAGATCCTTTTGTGCCATCAATTGTTAAGAACGATGATGTGGTTCATTTAGAAAAGGCGTGAGTTATGTCAAACGTATTGGAGGTACGTGCATTTGTAATAAAATCAGATTTTCCTTCTTGGTATGGTTTATTTGGGGAGCCTCAGCAATGTTCACCTCTCCGCCTCAACTTCTCATAGAGGAACATTGGTGAACTAGTGTGCATGCGTTTGGTTCCTCAAAGGAAATCTTTGAGGCAGTGCTTTCCGGTGATGGCTTCCAAGTCACATGACCGAGTTTTACTCAAGGTGGACTTAACCCTCCAAGTTAATTATTGCCGTTTCTAAAAAAAAATGCACTGTTTACAGGTTGCAGGGTTAAAAATACAGGGCCTCTGCCTTTAGATGACTTCATGGAGATGAAATTGTCTGGGTAACTAAATAAGCCCATAAAGGTTACATGAATAGAACCTCAAAAGGGACACCATAGGCACTATTATCTCATTGAATTGGTTATAGTGCCTGAAATCTTCATTGGCTTTCCATCCATTCAATATTAAACCATTTTTGAGCAGTTTAACAGTTAAAAGTTGTCTCTGGCCACTCACAGACCCGCCCTTAGTGGAGATGTGGCTTAGGAAGATTACGCACTTCCTTCTAGCCATACAAGTTCATACCAGCAGTGGGAAATGTGATCAGCTGACACGCTCTGTCGTCCCCTGCTGCCCAGGCTGATACTTCCTCATTAGCCCAAGCAGAACATACACATTCTCTTTTAGCATTAAAAATGGTTTAATGCTGAATGGAAGGATGGTGCCAGGGGACTTCAGACACTATAACCACTTAAATGAGATGAAGCAGTCATAGCGCCTACAGTGTCTATAGTAAAATGGCCTTTCATGCGTTAAAGCAATTAGAATGCTTGACAACAAGGAAGGAGAACATGCTCAGTATTTATCCAACAGCTTTAGCTGCTTCCAGATTAAATGTGGGCCCGGATCATAAGCTTAACTAGAGAAAGCAACTCTAAGACCAAACATGTATTAGCAAATTCATCCTTGTGCAATGATCATTGTTCTGAAAGAAGATTATCTGCATCTCAGCAGTGGATGGAAGGGATGGAGATGTACGTGAACGATGAGTTCAATCATTGTCCTTCTAGAAGGAAGGAGAATGTCTGCTCAAACTGCAGAGCAAACCATACCATTCCGTTCTGAACGTATCAGCAGACAGGAGCTCCTGCACACGGTAAAATGGGGCCGTTAGGGCAAAAATGAGTAACAAAGCGTGTTTGTTTTTGTGACGTCAATCATCGTGATTCATCAGTGAGAAAGCGTACTTGCCGGTAAAGATTATCTTAATACAAAAAAAATTTGCACTTTGCTTAAACAGAGCCCTAGTCAACTCTTGTCCTCTTAACACCAAACTGTTTATACTGCAATTACATCATCATGCTGTGTATGAGAACAGCAAATATATTGAGACCTTTCGTTTTCAGAGGTCTTCATGAGGAAGTAAATACAAACACAAAAAAATTAAGACTTGCGCGCAAATTCCCATTACTGTTGTGTGGCAGCCCAAAAATGTTAAAAAATGAAAAATTACCTGAGAAGGGATGACAAAGGCTTTATGCCGATACCAAAATACAAGATTTCTGTGCCCTCAAGTATCTAGCTTAGTCCCCATTTATAATCTTGTTTTACTTGTGTTTCTGGGGCCAGATTATTGCTTTCAATGAGAATGTTCCTGATGAGAGTTAGGATCCACCGCACATAACAGGCCTGATCCTCCCAGAGTGTTACAGTGTTGAGTGGTTTTTATTTGGAGTCTTTTATTGGCAGTTTTTCAGCTTATTGATTTGAACTATAAACACTTTAATGCTTTCTATGTGTTGATGGCCACATGGAACAGACAACTACGTTAGTGTTTTTATTTCTTTGGCACAACATTTACAGTAAAGTAGGAAAAAAAATTCCTATGCACATATAAATAACAGGAGGTCTTAGTATCACTCCAATGGCCATTAGAGTGCAAGCTCACCTGCCTTGTCAAACTCTACACAAACAATTCCCCTTGCTGCTTTCAGCTAAAATGCAAAATCTCCAATCAGACAGTTAGGGGTATTCTGATTAATCCCTACACACTGATAAGGCAGATATTCTCTTGAATCATGAATATTTTTAAAAGGAATGTATGCCAGAAATTGTAATAATGTGATCCTGCGTTATGGTGCATTTACTAAGCCAGGGCTTGACAAATTTGCTTGGCATCTAGAAGCCTTTTCAGAGAAAATGCAGTGTTTACATTGCTGCCTAGTAAGACTTCTAGTGACAGTCACTCAGACTCAGTGCTTCTTAGTCTGGTGCTTCACTCTGTCATGGAGGCGCTGAATGTTCCTCATAGAGATGCACTGACTCAATGTATCTCTATGAGGAGATGACGATTTGCACAGCGCAGTGTTTTGTTGTCCATGCGCATTAGCCTCCCAATGTTTTCCTATGGGAAGAATTGGATTGGCTGAGATCATCAAGACTGATAATCTCAGCCATGGAAGAGGGGCTAGCTACAGCGAGACCGGCACGGAGTGGGGGAAAAGGGTGAGTAAAATATCTTACAACTGTGGTCGGAAGGGGGCCGTTTATCTCAGCAGACACTCTCAATGACAGACAGGCACACTGACAAACATACACACACTCACTGATTTGACACACTGACAGACACACAAACACACACACTCAATCACAGGCAAACACACACACATATTCTCTCACACTCACAAAATTATTATTTGTTTTTTAATTTAAGTCTATCCAGCCTCCCTACCTGTGGGAGAGCTCAAGTAGATCTTCCCCTGGGGTCCAGTGTCACTACTAAAGTTTTTCATGCTTTGCTTTCTTGTGCGCGGTTTATCAATGCCGGGGCCAGAGTGATGTCATATCTCAGCTCATCAATACAGGGCGCTCGAGGGAGCAGCGCAAGAAGATTACAGCTCCCAAACCAACTACATTCTGCACCAGCTAGTCGCCTTCATTCTGCCCCGGTCAGCAACCCACCTCCTATCTCGCTCAGCTGGCCACCACAAGAATACGGTGGGGCTGATTGGGCAGCTGCTGAACAGACAGACACGCCAGGCGTCAGGACAAAATATCTAGTGGCCATGGCGACCTGGGATTTGTCAAGCCCTGCACTAAACAGTTTAAAGAGTTACTCCACGGCCAAGCATCAAAACCCTTACAGCCTGCTGTTGTGGTTACAATGCCAGGAATACCCTGGCTCCATTTTCCAATGGTACAAACGGTTTTGCAACAGCTTCACCTCTTACCTGGATCCCCACCGGGCACAGGGTGTCCTCTCTAGTCAGTGATGACAACAGGCTGTTTATTATGGGTGTGACGAAATGCCCTTTGTCCCTGTATTGTTAGGTGACAAGCTGTCCTTTGCCCTTGGCTTTTGGAGGAGCCTGATTGCCAGCCTCCTTCCTCATGACTATGGCCCTTGGGTGTATTGCCATTTAAAAAGACTATTTGGGGCTTATTGGCTTCTAAAGACGGTTTCTGCCCATTTGAATCCATGGGAAGGTGTGTTTCTTCCCCTCCCCCGTTTCCTGTCTATTGTTCTCCAGCAGGGCGTTGTCCCAGGCACACTGCCAAACCAGTTGGAACTGACTGCTTTTGTCCCTCCTTGGTTTCTCAACAGCCCTTGCTATGCTTTACCCCATGGCAAATTTACTCTGTTCATGGGATCTGAGCGCTGTTCACCTAGATTGAGAGCTCAGATACGAGCTATCTGGGGATAGGTTAAATGTGGGGGTTCTGTGTAATATAATAAGAATTATGTATTTTTATGTACTTTCACGTATTTTTGCTGTTAGTGTAAAATGTAGATATTTTCTGTACCTGGAGATAATTGAGTTTACTGCAATGCCTTAAGCCAATTATCTCCAGGATGGAGAGGAGGGATTTCATTGTATATGTGAGATTGTTTTTATGTTAATTAGTGTTCCCATTGGTTTGTGTCCCTTTTGTCACAGTTTACCACCAGGTCCAGGGGGTGCGCCTCTGACCTGAAAACTTGTATATAAGGAGTAATAAACGCTCATTGGAGTCAGATCATCTTGTACCTTCATGCAGTTTCGGCTCATGTTTGGGGGATTGGAGAAACTACACTCTGGGGATTGCTATAATCACTATACTCCCCAGGGTATAATCACTAAGCTCTGCTAAGAGCTTGTTCCTGTTCCTGCTCTCTGGAATTCGGAGAGAGGTCGACCTGCTGGAAGCTGGAAACTGGTCCTGGGTCCAGAGTGGGTGGAGACGGCGAGACCCCAACCAAGCTGCGGCGGTTCGTGGAGTCTGCAGTGGTTATGGTGTCAGGCAGAGTGCTTGGAGTCCTCGGAAAGCACTAGGAGCATGCGTCGGCGGAAGGTACCCGGTCGGGGTGCCAGCGGTTCCGTTACAATGGGTATTTACAACAGTCAGAATTGACAGAATTCCAAATTTATGACTAAAATAGCTGATCTGGAAAAATTACATTTTAGCAACCTGAAATTCAATTTGAATTCAGGAGAAATCTCACTTTAGTGAATAAGCCTTGGAGTCTATTCTAAAAACATTGAATGTTGTGATTAAATTGAAAACCGGATTTCCAATTATAGTCCAAAATAGATTACTTGGGAATCTGGACCAATTCAGTTTTTTTTTTTCAGTTTGGATATTTTTTTGGCCTAACTTTTGTAACTTTTAATTCACCACATTTAACTCTTTAGTGAATACGTCGTAGTGCAGGGCCACATTATTACAATTCATGCCTACATTCTTTTAATAAACAAACAATCAAGATTCAAGATTGAATCAGGTTATCTTAAATCCGGAAACGCTAAGCCCTAAAACTTGACCAAGCCAAAGTACAATATTAACACAGTATAATCTGATTGGCTGCAGTTTCATCGTATAATGTTTAAAGTCTTTAATCTGATTGGGTGCAATAAGCATGTATCACAAGTGAGTTTTGTATTTAGTTTGTCCTTGGCTGTCCTAATAGAAACATGTAAATATGGCACTGTACAACAATATTAAATGGCTTTTCCATTTTGGCATTCTTTTTGGTAAATAAATCATGACACGGTGTAATATGTCATGCATTGTTTTTGTTCTGAGGTTGTATTTACTTAAAGGGGAACTATAGTGCCAGGAAAACAAACTTGTTTTATAGCTTCCCCCTTTGTCAAGGTCCCCCCTCCCCCGTGGTGCAGAAGGGGTTAATAACGTACGGAATGTACGTATCCTGGTTCTGCCATAGATTCATGGGACAGCTGGTGCAGTTTTCAAATGTTGCAACGCACCACTAGGACTGTACATACCACTAATCTCAGCACTGGGACATATATGCGCTTGTCCTGCCCTAACAGTTAATTTCCCATTTAAAAGAACAATAACATTAAAAAGTGTTTCCCTTAATATTTAGGTTACTGGGCCACCTCCATAAACCTGGAAAAAAGATTTTCTTAACTTTTAGCCGACACCGAGCTAGTGCTTTGCAATTCCCTTTCTTTCCTTTATTAGCACTCTGTGTACATAGGAGGTTAAAGGGACACTATAGTCACCAAAACAACTTTAGCTTAATGAAGCAGTTGTGAAGTATATATTATGCTCTTCCATGCTCACTGCTCAATTCTCTACCATTTAGGAGTTAAATCACTTTGTTTATGCAGCCATAGTCACACCTCCCTGCATGTGACTTGCACAGCCCTCCTTAACACTTCCTGTAAAGAGACATCTAATGTTTACACCTCCGTTATTGAACAGACCGTTTCATTTAGAATTTCTTGTCTCCTGCACTGTTAATAGCTTGCTAGTCCTTGCACGAGCCTCCTGTAGTTTATTAAAGTTCAATTTACAGAGCAGGAGATAAAAACCTCTAAAGCAAGTTAACATCTGCAAATGAAACAATTTTACGCATGGAGGCTGTGTGCGCCACAGCCATAAGAGATGCATAGACAGAATATAAAGTGCTTGTTTTGGTGACAATAGTGCCGCTTAAAGTCCACCTTGTGTGGCTGCTGGGGTGACAGCCGCTAAAGGCGCTTCGGCTGCACTGACCACGTAAAACTGATTCAATGCTTTGCTATGAGAAAGTTTAAATACGAGCATGGCCAACTTTAGATTGGACCATCGCAAAGGATGCCACGCCTCCTCTGTGACGTAGCCAAGGAAAGAGAGCAAAGCAGTTCTGAGGGATCCTCTGCACTGTAACAGGGTAAATAAAAAAGGGTTTTAACACTTTAAATGCCATACGGGAGGACCTATTACCACTAGGGATAGGGACACTATAACATAGTAACAGATTTTTATCCTTAAGAAAAAGTTCCACAGCCGTCACAATGTAGGGTGAAGGCAAAAAAATATTTATTGGAAATCAAAAAGGACAAAAAACTTTTCGGCCTAGAGATGACACTAGGCATTTGCCTAGGGCGGCACTTTGAAGTGGGCGGCAAAAAAAGCCGCCCCCAAATTGCCTAGGCAAATACCTTGCCAGCCTCTGGTCTTGGGGGGCCCAGGAGTTGGCTGGCTGGCCACCATGATATGGGAGGTGGGCGGCGAGGGAGCTCCGTACCGAAGTGATGCCGGAGCTGGAATATGAAGTCACTTCGGCCCCAGCATCACTGATAGGGAGATCATAGCTCCCTCACCACCTGCCTCCACTCTGAACCTGCCTGCCGAGCTGCAGCCAGCCCCACTGGACCACAGGGAAATGGAGAATCTACTCCAGCACTGTGTTTGTCAGTGTGTGTGTGTCTGTCAGTGAGTATATGTGTGTCACAGTGTGTGTGTGTGTGTGTCTGACACTGAGTGAATGCGTGTCTGTCAGTGAGTGTGAATGTGTATCTGTCAGTGAATGCGTATGTCAGTTAGTGTGTCTGTCGGTGAATGTGAGTGTCTGTCAGTGAGTGTGTATGTATGTTTCAGTGAAAGTGTGTGTTGGTTAAACAGTGTGTGTGACAATGACTGTATCTGTTGATTTTTAAAAGGATGTGAAATTAAGAAAGGAGGGAGGGGGGGTTACCTGAGTTTTGCCATGCCTAGGGCAGCACAAAACCAGAATACACCACTGACTGTAGACATAGTCTATTTAGGTCTCCATAGGAACATTATGGAGACTTTCCATTAATATACAGTAAACGGTTATCTGTCTCTGTCCGTATATAATGTAATATATATATATACACACACACACACACACACACACACACATACGCACACGCACACAAGATTTTCTTAACTAGACATTATGATCCTGGGCGCCTCAACTTCATTACCATGTTTTCATTAATAGAAAGTTTATATACACACACCCACACACACAAGATAAAAACAAATAAAATAAATCACATGGTCATGAAGGACTGTCACCACATACAGGGGAATGAATGACATCATTTATCAGATTTCATTTACAGCAGGTATACTATGTGTGCAGCATGATACGTTGTTACAGTAACTAACAAGGTTTACCTAGCAACCCTCTTTCCTTAACCACCTGCCTGTATCACGAAAACTGGTAACAAGACACTAGCGGTTACAAAACCAACACCTTCAGTCGTCATGGTAAAATATGCTATTGCTATTAAAGCAAGCATCTTTGGGTAAGCAGCCATAAAGCTATTAGCTACAGTTGTAAAATATATTTTCAGGAACGTCCAGAGTGTCTCTTCAGGTCTAAAAAAAATGTAAAAAAAATAAATGTACTTGTGTGAAATTATTGGCAAATGTCACACAGAACCGTTGCCTTCAGCGAGGCCCTTTCTGTCGTGGGAGAAAGTGGAGCGGGCAGGAGCAATATAACTTTCTGCAGCATCATGGTGTAATGGCCCAGTGGCACAGGGCAATAAAAAAAACACCAATCAGCTGGCGCTAAATATACGAGAAAATAAACAAAATCAAGAACTGGAAAGATTAACCAGGCAGTAATAGTAACATTGATTTTTTTTTTTTTCTGGCAACAAAGGGCCATGGGCTTTTTTCCCCAATGTCTACTTCAATTAGAAGATGCAGTGTAGCCATTTTATTTGCAATAACAAACACAGAAGTGTGATGAGACGAGAATAGCAAGATCACAGGCGTGAGATTCACCTATTCCAGCTTATTACAGTTATTGAACTCATACAGCCCCACCCCTACCCAGTAAAACACAGCCCTGCTCTCTCTGCAGAGCATCTCTATAAATAATAACAAAGACAAAATACAGAACTCCTTCTAGGATAGCAAGTTAATCCTGTCAGTAACTGAGCTCCCAGGGTGCATAATAATAATAATAATAATAATAATAATAATAATAATAATAGGTGCTGCTGGGAGAGACACAGGAATCATACAGCCAGTGCACACCCCACTTACTCCATCCATCTAATGATAGAGAGCCCCACTCACTCCACCCATCTGATAGAGTCCCACTCAGTCCACCCAACTGATAGAGTCCCACTCACTCCATGCATCTTATGATAGAGTCCCACTCACTCCATGCATCTGATAGAGTCCCACTCACTCCATCCATCTGATAGAGCCTCACTCACTCCATCCATCTGATAGAGTCCCACTCACTCCACCCATCTGATAGAGAGCCCCACTCACTCCATCCGTCCATCTGATAGAGCCCCACTCACTCCATCCGTCCATCTGATAGAGAGCCTCACTCACTCCATCCATCTGATAGAGCCTCACTCACTCCATCCGTCCATCTGATAGAGAGCCTCACTCACTCCATCCATCTGATAGAGCCCCACTCACTCCATCCATCTGATAGAGCCCCACTCACTCCATCCATCTGATAGAGCCTCACTCATTCCATCCATCTGATAGAGTCCCACTCACTCCATCCATCTGATAGAGAGTCCCACTCACTCCATCCATCTGATAGAGCCTCACTCATTCCATCCATCTGATAGAGTCCCACTCACTCCATCCATCTGATAGAGAGTCCCACTCACTCCATCCATATGATAGAGAGTCCCACTCACTCCATCCATCTGATAGAGCCCCACTCACTCCATCCATCTGATAGAGAGCCCCACTCACTCCATCCATCCATCTGATAGAGAGTCCCACTCACTCCATCCATCTGATAGAGCCTCACTCACTCCATCCATCTGATAGAGCCCCACTCACTCCATCCATCTGATAGAGAGCCCCACTCACTCCATCCATCTGATAGAGCCTCACTCATTCCATCCATCTGATAGAGAGTCCCACTCACTCCATCCATATGATAGAGAGTCCCACTCACTCCATCCATCTGATAGAGTCCCACTCACTCCATCCATCCATCTGATAGAGAGTCCCACTCACTCCATCCATCTGATAGAGCCTCACTCACTCCATCCATCTGATAGAGCCCCACTCACTCCATCCATCTGATAGAGTCCCACTCACTCCATCCATCTGATAGAGAGCCCCACTCACTCCATCCATCTGATAGAGAGCCCCACTCACTCCATCCATCTGATAGAGAGCCCCACTCACTCCATCCATCTGATAGAGTCCCACTCACTCCATCCATCTAATAGAGTCCCACTCACTCCATCCATCTGATAGAGAGCCCCACTCACTCCATCCATCTGATACAGCCCCACTCACTCCATCCATCTGATAGAGAGCCCCACTCACTCCATCCATCTGATAGAGAGTCCCACTCACTCCATCCATCCATCTGATAGAGAGTCCCACTCACTCCATCCATCCATCTGATAGAGAGTCCCACTCACTCCATCCATCTGATAGAGCCTCACTCACTCCATCCATCTGATAGAGCCCCACTCACTCCATCCATCTGATAGAGTCCCACTCACTCCATCCATCTAATAGAGTCCCACTCACTCCATCCATCTGATAGAGAGCCCCACTCACTCCATCCGATAGAGAGCCCCACTCACTCCATCCATCTGATAGAGCCTCACTCACTCCATCCATCTGATAGAGCCCCACTCACTCATCCATCTGATAGAGTCCCACTCACTCCATCCATCTGATAGAGCCCCACTCACTCCATCCATTTGATAGAGAGCCCCACTCACTCCATCCATGCATCTGATAGAGTCCCACTCACTCCATCCATCTGATAGAGAGCCCCACTCACTCCATCCATCTGATACAGCCCCACTCACTCCATCCATCTGATAGAGTCCCACTCACTCCATCCATCTGATAGAGTCCCACTCACTCCATCCATCTGATACAGCCCCACTCACTCCATCCAACTGATAGAGAGTCCCACTCACTCCATGCAGATCAAACTGCCATCTAATGATGGAGACCATAGAGTTGTCCTCCCCACCCCTCCTTGTCTTCCCCCCCCCAGGTCTAGCCCACACCTCCCAGCTGTGCTGTATCAGACAGGGTCACATCTCACACCAGCAATGCTGTGTCTGGACCAGCTCCAGGGATACAATGTATCAATGTGGCCTCCATCGTTCAATCTGCGGAATCTCTACACAAAGGCACATGCAGGAACAGCCCCCCTCATTATTGGGGTCAGCAGCTCTCTCCCTGCAGACAGTAATGGGTGGCTATAAAGGATGGATAGAGCCTTATTATTTGTATTAATATTATTTTATGGGGTTACAGTACCTTGGGAGCCGGCACCGCCTCTTCCTGCTGCCAGGGATGTGCTGAGAGCTCACCGCTTGGAGAGAGAGCCACGATCTGAGGGTGAGACACAGACACACAGGGAAGAGGAGGAGTGAGAGTGAGGAAGCCGCCCACAGCGCTCCCTGACAGCCTCTGCCCCAGCCTGGCACGATTTCCTGGAGCTCGGGCTGAGGATGCTCTGCGCTGAGGTCGCAGTGTAGGTCAACGTTCCAAGGACGCGTTCCAATCGAACCCAGCGCAGCCTCCATTCTCTCTCACCGCCAGCTGTACACAGCCATCGGGTCTGCAGTGCAATGCGAGCACCGAGTCTGAAATATCGCTAAGGGGGTATTTACTAAACTCGCAGTGGAGGGATCTGACATTTGAATGGCAAAAAGAGACGGTTTGGAAAATGTCCTAGGTTTTGCCATTCATGCCTGAAATGGCATGTTTAGTGAATAAACCCCCTACCAGTCAGTCTGATTCTTTCAGAATGTGAAAAAAGCCTGATTTATGGACAAAGCAGTGAGTTAAAAGCAGACTTTCCAATCCAGCCAATAATCAGCCGTGATATTCACTAAGCTCCGAACTAATGTAGCTCATTGAAATCCAAATAACACATTCTAGGCTAAACAATCTGTAACAAATCTACATTTACAGCTTGGGTATTATAGCCTCATGTTTGCACAATCTGGACTTTAGTGAATACATGTTTGAAGGGTTTTTTTTTATATCAGCTGTATTGCTCAACATTTGTGTTTCAGTTCACTGCAATTCTATATTTAAAGGCACACTATAGTCGCCAGAACAATTACAGCCTAATGTAGTGGTTCTGGTGTCTATACCATGTCCCCGCAAGCTTTTTAATATAAGCACTGCCTTTTCATAGAAATTGGTGACCCCATCCACCTCTAGTGACAGTCACTCAAATGGCCACTAGAGGTGCTTCCTGGGTCAGTGCAGCACAATATGCATCACAGACTTTCAGCGTCTTAATGCTCTGCATGGAGGCGCTAATCATTCCTGAGAGAGATGCATTAATTCAACGGAGGCCAGGGGACTAAATGGTGTTTTTGACGTATAGTGTAAGGAATACATGTTTGTATTCCTGCCACTATAGTGTTCCTTTAGCCCCCTAAGGATGGAGACAATTGTACACGTTGATCAAAACCTGGAATTTGGCTATATGACTGTTCAACCATAATTCACCTATTTCATGCACCCACACTTATTATATATAATTTTGTTCAGGAGAAGCATGGCTTTCATTTCACGTGAAATATTTATATATGAAACATAATTTACATGAATACAATCCAAGTACAGGTTTTATGGTGTTTTGGAAAGTTACAGGGCCAAACATAGAACATCCCCTTTTCAGTTTATACACATCAACATTTGCCAGACTGGTTATTTTGTTACTCTGAGCTAACTGGAATATGTCGGCCTCACATTATGTACACTTTCAATATGCACGCCTCTGCGTAGGCAACTATATGCATTAATGATACTAAGTTCAACACCAGTGTTTATATTGATGACAATAAACATATTTAAAACAAAATGGGGTATGTATAGTCTTTTTAGTAGCCACTTATTCACAAATGTCTACACAAAGTGAGGCTCTTAATTGATCACTTGTCAAAATAATATTTGAAAATTACACCCCTGACCAAAATATCTGTCTAGGTGAGTCCCTTTTGAAATTCAAGGGAAGACTTTTCAAGCAGTACATTCCATCAAAGTGAACTCGCTATGGAATAAAATTTCAGAAGTTGTGCACATGCTCCTGCTTTGCGCCTTGATGACCTGCTAGCCCTTAAGTACACGGACAAAAAAAAAAATGACATGTAGATGTTGTCCACACTTCATGATGAGAGCACAGTGCCAGTGTCAGCTCACAGAAGCAATGCACAAATCGAGAAGCCAACAAGCAAGTTGAGGGAATAGACTTGGCTGACCACTTTTATTGGGCAGACTAGATTGGCCGAATGGTTCTTATCTGCCGTCACATTCTATGTTTCAGTGTATTCAGCCATAAATGGTTAAAAAAAAAATGTGGTGTAAAAAAAAAAGTTACCATCTACCTTGTCCAGATTGCAGTATATAATTCCTATGTACTGTAAAAAAAGCAGCCACAGGGAAGTAATACACTTTCCTGGAGTTCACTCTGAAGCTCGTGTCAGATATTTTATTTTGCCAGCCCCCTCATCCCTCGACATTGCAGTATGAAGATACCTGAAGACTTTGTGGAAGACACATCCATAGTAGAATCCCCGTCCCCACATCCCACAAAAAGTAACCCCAGAAAAAATGTAGAGTCTGCTACAAAGGAAAAGCCAGGAGGGCATATTATTACCCTCATTACCTATCACTATCTGGCTTATGTTATTGCCCTCACTACCCATCACTATCTGGAATATTTTAAAGGGTGCCATACAGAGTTAAACTATTAATTCAGAACACTCAGTGTAAGACTCTTTATTTTAGTGCTGATTCCTGACCGCAGCTTGTCCTGATTATGCTTTGTCAGCTGCCTCTACTGACTTACTGGCTGTTTATACCAACTGCTCTGATTTCTGAATCACCTAAACTTGGCCTGTTTTTTTTTACACTCAGCCATTATAAAGTGGCTGCACCAAACAACTCAAAATAGCCCATATGGTATACCCTGGTTTGCCTGCTTTAAAAAAAAATGGTATGCTGTCATGAGGGTAAATTTTCTTCCCTGGGCTACCATACTGCTTCCAAGGTGACATGGGCCCAGAAAATTGAAATTTTCCATGTTGAAAAGGGCATCTAAAATATTTGGACCTGTAACTACCACCAAACAAACTGGAAAACCAGTACATGGGGGGAACTGTTGGTGAGACAATGCTAAATAAAAAATGTTGAGGCTTTATTACACACACACATCACGATTATAAAATGTCCTATGACAATGGAATTCATGTATGTGGAAAAAACACTAATAAAAGTATAACCACTAAGTGTGGCCTGCATTTGTGATATAGAGGCCAGAACAAACAACTCAAAATACAAAATTTAGAATACTCTGGGTTAACTACTTTTGAAATTGGTATGCCATAATTATGGAGATGTTATTACCCAGGCCGCCATACTGTCTCAAACGCAACATAGGCACAGAAATGTTTTTTTTGTAAAATTTTCATGTATGAAGACTTAAAGAGTCATGCCCCATGTTTTGCTCTGTAACTTTCCAAAACTTTTATACTCGTGAGACATCATTGAAAACAAATACGAGTGTTTTAGAGCAGCAAAAACATATAAAGATGATGATGATATCATTAGTAAAAGTGCAGTTTTTGTGTAAAAAAAAAAGGGAAAAAACAAACAAATTTGAACACTAACTTTGCCCAGATTTTGTGACGAAGTAGCTACTAACAAAGACTGGACATATCTAATTTTAACACCCTGGGTTCCCTACTTTTACAAATCGTATGCCATGACAGCAGTAATTCTCACTCCTGGGCTACCATACTGTCTCAAAGGCAACATAGGCCCAGCAAACCAATCTGGCAAATTTCAATGTGTAAAAACTGAAATAGGCAAGCCCTATATTTGACCATGGCTTTGCATAACCTTATAAAACCTGTCAGTGGGGTGTACTGTTATATTTGTGTTCAGCAATGTCTCACAAGTCCGAGTGGTTTAGATGAGTAAAACATATAGGAAAAGGATATCATGCAGGTTTAGTGTGAAAAACACAAAAACAAATATGAACGCTAACTTTGGCCAGGATTTGTGACTAAGTGGCTACTAAAAATACGTGACATACCTCATTTTGAATACCGTTGGTTGTCAACTTTTGCGCATGGTATGCCATGATGGGGGTAATTTTCTTTCCTGGGCTGCCATTCGGTCTCAGAGGCCCAAAAATATAATTTGTCAGATTTCCACCAATGAGGAATGCAGGTCACATTTGGCCTTGTAACTTTCAAAAACCCAACCAAGCATGTTCATGGGGGCATTGCTGTACTTGTGGGACATCTAGAATACAAATATGTGTATTTTATTGCAGAAACAATGCTAACAGTATCATGAACTTCACAGTTAAAATGTCATGCAGAAATTGAATTTCTCATACTTAACAAATTATATAAGTAGTGTGGGTGTACTTTACATGAGCTCAAATTCTAGCTTGTTTTGGTTCAGAACTTGGACAATTGCCTCTGTCCTCAAGGAGTTAAAGATTTGTGATTGGGGCGTGGTTTGGAGGCCGAGAGACATGGCAGCTTAAACCGAGTGCTCCCCGCAGGCTTACGTGGGCCTCACACCCGCACTCCCTGAGCACAGATCAACCGGTACACCGGAATGGGTGACACTGATGCAGGCACTACCCACTAAAACAGACCTCAAGGAGGCGAATGCAGAGCTCCATAACCATATTACCGCAGAGCTCCATTTCCTCCGAGAAGACCTCCAGAGCCTGCACCAAAAAGTCTCCCAGCTTGAGGCAGACAGTAATCACCTAACCTCCGCACAGAACGCTACCACAAGCACCCTGCAGCTACACGAGGCACAACTACGCCAAATGGCCCTGCACATCGAGGACATGGATAACAGAGGGCGCAGACAAAATATCCGGATCAGGGGGATAGCCGAAGACTTGGACCGGGACACCCCGATCCACACAACCCTCACAGACCTTTTTAACAAACTGCTAGGATGATTCTACCCATATCGAGTTTATAAGAGCACATAGGGCACTGAGACCCAGGGGCCCACCAGAGTACCCACCACGAGACACAATCTTCTGCCTGGCCAGCTATCAATTGAAGGAGGATATCCTATGAAAGGCCTGTGACACAGCCCAGGTCTTACTAAATGGCATACAACTGCAATTGTACCCGGACTTACAGGAGAGCACTAAAACCCCTGACACGGGTTTTACAATCCAATAAGGTATGCTATCGCTGGACTTTCCCCACGGGACTGCAGGCCTCTACTCCCAATGGCCAGTTTATGGTGAGGAGCCCGGAAGATCTGACGGACATGGCCATTCACATGACATGGCCGGACCCGATGGCATTCTACTCCTTCCACCCTGGGACTCGGGCAATGGCGCCACAGCCCTGTAGCCAATGGAGACCCCAGGCCCAGACCATATGTCAATCTGGGGCTACCTCCTAAACCAGGAGACTTCACAGGTACTATGCCCAACCTCAAGTATGAGACTGAGAGGCCGTGACCTCCCGGGTTGAGAGACACTGTAATCAGAGCTACTTAACTGTACTGATGGCCTGTGCTGGGGGGGGGGGAGTGACAGAGGTAACTAGAGCTAACGGAAGGTTGCTCCTTGTCTGGCCGTACTAACGGGTATCCCGCCCCACACACCTAACCACGATATAGTTGGTCCCACGTAGACGTACCCTGAGCCACATGTACAATTTACATTGGATCACCGAGGGGCACCCTGATGTAATGGGAGGGGGGCGCTCTCTGGCTGGACCACGCCGCCGGGGCGCCTACCATCCTGTGAGGAACCGGAGGGGAGCAGTGGCGGGGACACCGGTGGGGGAGTTAGAGGGGGATGGATTGCAGCCTAACTTGGGGGGGAGATCATGGTCAGAGGTCAACAACGAAAGGAGGGTCGTATGGCGCATGGTACCAGGGACTGCAAACGGAATACATTACGATCACGGACCGGGTAACTACACACACTCAGCAAATCCAACTTCTCCGTTGGGCGGGGGAGTGGTGGGAAACCTGGTGCCAGGGGGGTGGGAAGGGATGTTATTAACCAAGTTGAAGTTTTCATGTAATATGCTGTTGTTACACGTTACCGGGATATACACCGCACAAACCTCTGACACCCGGCGGAGTGAAACACATTACCTGTTTGAGGCCTTTGGGCCACCACAAAATAGGACGAGGATGGAATATACACACACAAATAACATTTGAAGCCGCAGGGGAGACGAGGGCTTCGGGCGAGGTCCAGTTCGGGATAGGGCCAGCATGGAGGCTCCCAGCCTCTTCCGCTTTCCCCCATAGGACTGAGCGCCCATAGGTAGGCAGGCGAGACTTGGCGGACCACTGGTGGACTCCGAATAGTCTTGTCCTCCGACGCTCGTTCCTACCCGTCACCTCCGAGTGACGAGGTCTTTCTGTATATAGTTTCCCCTCCCCCATCCCCCTTTGTCCCGCGCACCTGCCCGCCCCCTCCCCCGACGCTTACGACCTCCCCCCCCAAGAC